GGGACCATGTGGTCAAAGAGGCCAGGTGGCTGAAAGGTCACAAGAGCTTGGCTGATGTGTATAGAGTTTCGGCAGCTCTTGGGTTCAAATGCAGGTTAAAGCCGCCATGCCCATGATTACACGGTATCCTCATGCGTAGCGGAGTTGATTATCTCAGCCGTTCACCAAATTGCTGCACAAATAACTCCCCCTCCCATCATATTAAATAAATTATGATTCAATGGTTAGCGATTAATTTTCGTGCTTAAACATTAAAATGAGTGTTTTCACTTAAGTTGCCCACAATTGCAGATGTTAAGAATACAAAAAAAAATCTGTTCGGCTGTCACGTGACGAACATCTGTGCAGCAGGCCAACTCCCGAAGCTCACTGAAAGAGATCACAGACGCGAGCCCTGCGACGTTCGCTTGTGCAGGAACGCTCTCCAACACGGAGGGGCGTTGGTGGTGATGCGCGGCCCTGACAAAGAGAGTTCCAAACAGACGCTTCTTCACCTCGTGACATGACGCCGATGGCACAACCGCGCAATGGAACTTTGGAGAAAGACAAAATCCCACGGCGTTCGATTGGGGTGGTGGTTTTGTGCCTGCGCCACTGTTTGCACACGGAGTCTGCGACTAAATTCTCATCCCCGCTAAGCAACGTCTTGTAATAGACGCGAGCGAGAAGTGTCTGCTGTAAAAGGGACTCGATCCTGTGGACTCATTGTCAAGAGTAGGTCACTGCGCGTGTGTGCGTCATGACAGCACTTAAAATGAACCCGGTCCCACCCCCATATAAAATGTATAAATATACAGGACTGCATACCTGTCAACTCATACTGTTTACCCGTATTGTTGTACAGGGGAAATTGTATTTTCAGGTCCATACAGGCGTACAGCCGTTTCAATACTGGGCGCAAAAAAATAATGATACGGTCAAATAAAGAAAGTGTATTGTTTAACCCTTTATAATTTTCTGTGTTTATTGTTGTACATTTACAACGTGTGTATCCACATATCAAGCAAGCAGCATCAGCATGCAAGATCACAGACAGTAGCACAAGTATCATCATTGACACCAATTGTCAAAGTTAATACATAAAACTCTTTTTGTTTAGTAACATAATTTATGTCTATTTGTTTGTGTTTCTCCCTTGTGATGATGGGACTTTTCAGGATGAACGTTGCGATTTATAAGAAGCACGGGGGTGACCAATGAGGTCTGAATTGGTCTGTAATAAGGTAGGGGCACTGATAAAAGTATGGAACTGTAAACATTTCCGAGGTTTCTATCGTCACACGGATGAAAAGCCACGAATCTCAATCGCTTCTCACCTGGCACAGAGGACAATGAGAGAGGAAGGTGAGAGCTCGGAGTAGAGTCGGCGCCTCTCTTTATAACAATGGACACCTGAGATCAAGGCCGCAGCCATGGAGTCAACATTGGGGGGGACCAAATCTTACAGGGGGTCTGGGGTCCCCCCCCAGAAAAAAAAAATCTAAATTTGAAAACTCATTTCCTGCCTAAAATATAAAAAAATTCACTAACACATAGGACGGATTATTTATTTATTGCAATAATGTCTAATAGTGTATTGTATTACATTGCTCTGTTTTTTCTCTTTAACCTTTTCTTGTTTCATTGTATGCAATGGCAGAGATTAGGGATTAATAAAGCACAACCATAACCACAATAATATAAACAGAAATCTACTTTATAGCACTATATTGGGGGGGGGGGGGGGCATTTTGAGCATATTTGAATATTGGGGGGGGATATTGGGGGGGGGGTGTGTCCCCCCCCCCCCAAATATATATTATAATTACGGCCTTGCCTGAGATAAAACCACGTATGGTGATAACAGTGAGCGGGTGTGCCCACCTGCACAGGTGTTGAAAAAAGGGTTTTAGGGGTTGTTGCAGATCGGGATACGCTGTTGTGCACAGAGCTTGGGGGCCGTCCATAAATGACGTCATGCGATTTTTGACCCCCCACTCCCTCGTCACACGACGTCACAAAAAGTCAGACCCCGTCTCGAATATGACGTCACAAAGCTCTGCCCCCCCCCCCAAAACCATATTTCCATTTTGAAAACAAAACATGCTTCAAATCGCTTTAAACTATTGTCATTGTCGTCCGTATTTAATGTGGCGTTGCAATCTGATGTTGTAGGAGAAAAATTTATTAAAAAGTATATTTAATTAATTAGAACGTGTTGTCTACATTTATTTAAAGTTGCGCATTTTGATGTGACGTCCCATTTCTCACCCCCCCCTCGTCACACATCGTCACAAATGTCTGACCCCCCTCCCTAGGTGCGTGACGTCATTTATGGATGGCCCCTTTTTAATTAAGTAGAACGTGTTGTCTACATTTATTTAAAGTTGCGCATTTTGATGTGACGTCCCATTTCTCAACCCCCCCCCCCCCCTCGTCACACATCGTCACAAATGTCTGACCCCCCCCCTCCCTAGGTGCGTGACGTCATTTATGGACGGCCCCTTTGGCTGATGTTGTATATAGGGTCCATCTGCTGTGTATAGGGCTAGGCGGGCGTGTATAGGACTAAGTTAGTGCGCTATCGGGCTAGGCTGGTGTGTATCGGGTGAGGCTGATGCGTAAAGGGTTTAGCTGGTGTGTAGCTTGTGAGTCGACTGGTGTGTTTAACTCTCGGTATGCACACACACACACACCACACACACGCGCACTACTATCACGTGCTAGCTCCCCACCACGTGTCATGTGGCTGGCAACGTCACCGTACGCCCAGGGTGGTCTCTCATTCTTTGTAAAGGAGACGCCGCCTGTGATTAATGGGACAAGCCGGGTATGGGAGGGGAGAGGAGACGGTGGAGGTGATGGGACGTGGCTTGCACACACACATACACTCTCTCTTACTCCACTGAGAAACCAGACCCGTGCCGCAGACACGGCTGGAGCTGGGACAAAAGAGTTGGTGTCAGATTGCTGGCAGTCGGACAAAAACACACCACACAACGCGCACACACACAGGGTACACAACACACAACAACATAAGCGAACTATACGCGCCCTTCACGCATTTGACCCCTTCACGCTGTTATTATTTACTCTTGTTTACACAGGAAACCTTCAACGAGTCTCAAGGCGCTTTACTCAGGAGGGTCCTGCGCGTGGGTGGGGGGGGGGCGATGTTACTCTGTGGAATCCCAACCGAGTACAGCAGTTGACATGCAGAGGGTTGTCTCCACCATTGGGTTGTCTCCACCATTGGGGTGTTTTGGCCAATGCCACAGTCAGCTCATGTAGAGGAGGGAGAGAAGACACGAAACTCCACAAACAATGGAAAAGGCAAATGAATGCCCGAGACTGGAATTGAACCCAGATGCTTCTGGCTGTGAGTCACAAGTGTTAACCACATTGGCTATCCTCAAATACAAAATAAATGTAAAATAAATCAATTGGTTAACACATCCCATCAGCCACCATTCAGTGTCCAATCATAAGTCATGCCGGCTTGAGTCTTATGCCTACACAAGGCAGTACACCACAACACCGGGTTTGATACATACACAAAGCAAGGACACAATACGTACACACAGGGTGTATCACATACACACACACACACAAGTCAACCACGCAGCATAGTGTTGCGTGCACAACAAAGTACACATTTAATGACATTAACAGTGCAATAGAGTACGCAACAGAAACGTGTAAAACTCAAACACTTAGTGGTATGCACAATGTACATTATAAACAAAGTTAACACACAGAGGGTAGATAACATACACAACACAGTACACAATGTAGCAGTATGTGACACACTGCACAACACATTAGACAGTACACCACACAGTAAACACACAAGCAGCACACGTGTACGCCACACACAGTACACACCACAATTACATGCGTACAGGACACAACACAGCACAAGGTCATACACAACGCAGTACACAAACCCGCAGCCACACACAACAATCATCTGTGTGCCCGTACAGTTCAGTAGAGTATAGCCCACCACGTTCTGTTTAAACAGACAAGTCACATGAACACAGACACAATAACACAAAACACAAGCCACACGGCTACACAACGCGCACTATAACAGCACAAGCCTCACTGTAACACAAGCCTCTTAGTAACACAAGACACACAGTAACACAAGCCTCTTAGTAACACAAGCCTCAGAGTAACACAAGCCTCACAGTAACAAGCCACAATAACAATACACGCCACACAGTAACAAAATCTATACAATAACACCACAAGCCTCACAGCAAACACTACTGCACACAATCGATTATAAGACGAGGCCCGCAAACAACACAACGCAGGACACACAACACAACGAAACGCAGCACACACAACACCACAACACAACGAAACGCAGCACACACAACACAAACAAACACACAAACACAACGAAACGCAGCACACACAACACACAAACACAACACACAAACACAACGAAACGCAGCACACACAACACACACAAACCAAACCACAACACAACGTAGCACACACCAACACACAAACACAACACACAACAGCACACAACACAGCACACAACACAACACAAACACAGCACACAAACACACACCACAGCACACACACACAGCACACAAACACAGCACACAACACACAAACACAGCACACAACACACACACAGCACACAAACACAGCACACAACACAAACACAGCACACACAAACAACACACAAACACAACACACACAAACAACACACCACACACAAGCACAACACAAACACAACACACACAAACAACACACAAACACAACACACACAAACAACACAACACACACAAACACGACACAACACACAACACACGAACACAAACAACACACACACACAACACAGCACACACAACACACACAACACACAACGCAGCACACAACACAAACACAGCACACAGCACAAACACAACAACACAACACAAACACAACACACAACAGCAACACACAAACACACATAGCTGTGTGTGTGTGTGGCAGTGTGTGCGGTAATCTCCACTCACACGAGGTCGGGCCTGTGCCGGTGTAGGATGGCGCAGAAGGCGAGGCCGTCCCTGAACGAGGCCCCCATGTCCCGCAGGCTCACGCCGCGGTAGCCCCGCGTCTGATGCCGGCACCACCGCTGCAACTCCTGGGTCCCGGCCATGTCGACTCACAGGAACAACAACAACAACCACCACCACCACCACGACCTCGTCTCTTGCCTCGCAGACTTCTCTACCTCACCACCAGCCCCACAGCTTCGGCGCCCGCCCGCCCGCCCTCACTCACTCAATCACCAACTCGTGAGGGCCTCCATCACCGATTCATCGCCCGCTCACCCTCGCCAGCTTCTCTCGTTAATTTGAGACAACCTTCCTCAGCAGATGTCCTCAGCAGATATCATCAACCCTCCTGCCCGCCTGTCTGTCTGTCTGCCTCACCAACCCGCCGTCTCTCTCGCAGCCTCCCTCATCCTGATCTGGGGGGTCGTTCGCTGTCTTGGGCTGCCCCCAAACAGAACTGAGGCAGCGTCACGCGTCTCTCTCTCTGTGTCTGTGTGTGAGTGGGTGGGTGGGGAGTGTGTGTGGTAGGGTGTGTGGGAGTGGGTGGGGAGTGGGGAGTGTGTGTGGGAGTGGGTGGGGTGGGGGGTGTGTGTGTGTGTGGTAGTGTGTGGGTGAGTGGGTGGGGTGGGGAGTGTGGGTGTGTGTGGTAGTGTGTGGGTAGTGTGTGTGTGTGTGGTAGTGTGGGTGAGTGGGTGGGGTGGGGGGTGTGTGTGGGAGTGGGTGGGGTGGGGAGTGTGTGTGGTAGTGTGTGTGGGAGTGGGTGGGGAGTGTGGAGTGTGTGGGTGAGTGGGTGGGAGTGGGTGGGGTGGGGAGTGTGTGTGGGAGTGGGTGGGGTGGGGAGTGTGTGTGTGTGAGTGGGGAGTGTGTGCGTGTGAGTGTGGGAGTGTGTGTGGGGGGAGTGGGGAGTGTGTCTGTGTGGGTGGGAGTGGGTGGGGTGGGGGGTGTGGAGTGTGTGTGTGTGTGGTAGTGTGTGGGTGAGTGGGTGGGGTGGGGAGTGTGTGTGTGTGTGTGGTAGTGTGTGGGTGAGTGGGTGGGGTGGGGAGTGTGTGTGTGGGAGTGGGTGGGGTGGGGAGTGTGTGTGTGGTAGTGTGTGTGGGAGTGCGTGGGGTGGGGAGTGTGGAGTGTGTGTGTGGGTGAGTGGGTGGGGTGGGGAGTGTGTGTGTGTGTGGTAGTGTGTGGGTGAGTGGGTGGGGTGGGGAGTGTGTGTGTGGGAGTGGGTGGGGTGGGGAGTGTGTGTGTGGTAGTGTGTGTGGGAGTGCGTGGGGTGGGGAGTGTGGAGTGTGTGTGTGGTAATGTGTGGGTGAGTGGGTGGGGTGGGGAGTGTGTGTGTGTGTGGTAGTGTGTGGGTGAGTGGGTGGGGTGGGGAGTGTGTGTGTGGGAGTGGGTGGGGTGGGGAGTGTGTGTGTGTGTGAGTGGGGAGTGTGTGTGTGTGAGTGTGGGAGTGTGTGTGTGTGTGAGTGGGGAGTGTGTGCGTGTGAGTGTGGGAGTGTGTGTGGGGGGAGTGGGGAGTGTGTCTGTGTGGGTGGGAGTGGGTGCGGTGGGGTGTGTGGAGTGTGTGTGTGTGTGGTAGTGTGTGGGTGAGTGGGTGGGGTGGGGAGTGTGTGTGTGTGTGTGGTAGTGTGTGGGTGAGTGGGTGGGGTGGGGAGTGTGTGTGTGGGAGTGGGTGGGGTGGGGAGTGTGTGTGTGGTAGTGTGTGTGGGAGTGCGTGGGGTGGGGAGTGTGGAGTGTGTGTGTGGTAGTGTGTGGGTGAGTGGGTGGGGTGGGGAGTGTGTGTGTGTTTGGTAGTGTGTGGGTGAGTGGGTGGGGTGGGAAGTGTGTGTGTGGGAGTGGGTGGGGTGGGGAGTGTGTGTGTGGTAGTGTGTGTGGGAGTGCGTGGGGTGGGGAGTGTGGAGTGTGTGTGTGGTAGTGTGTGGGTGAGTGGGTGGAGTGGGGAGTGTGTGTGTGTGTGGTAGTGTGTGGGTGAGTGGGTGGGGTGGGGAGTGTGTGTGTGGGAGTGGGTGGGGTGGGGAGTGTGTGTGTGGTAGTGTGTGTGGGAGTGCGTGGGGTGGGGAGTGTGGAGTGTGTGTGTGGTAGTGTGTGGGTGAGTGGGTGGGGTGGGGAGTGTGTGTGTGTGTGGTAGTGTGTGGGTGAGTGGGTGGGGTGGGGAGTGTGTGTGTGGGAGTGGGTGGGGTGGGGAGTGTGTGTGTGTGTGAGTGGGGAGTGTGTGTGTGTGAGTGTGGGAGTGTGTGTGTGTGTGAGTGGGGAGTGTGTGCGTGTGAGTGTGGGAGTGTGTGTGGGGGGAGTGGGGAGTGTGTCTGTGTGGGTGGGAGTGGGTGGGGTGGGGTGTGTGGAGTGTGTGTGTGTGTGGTAGTGTGTGGGTGAGTGGGTGGGGTGGGGAGTGTGTGTGTGTGTGTGTGGTAGTGTGTGGGTGAGTGGGTGGGGTGGGGAGTGTGTGTGTGGGAGTGGGTGGGGTGGGGAGTGTGTGTGTGGTAGTGTGTGTGGGAGTGCGTGGGGTGGGGAGTGTGGAGTGTGTGTGTGGTAGTGTGTGGGTGAGTGGGTGGGGTGGGGAGTGTGTGTGTGTGTGGTAGTGTGTGGGTGAGTGGGTGGGGTGGGGAGTGTGTGTGTGGGAGTGGGTGGGGTGGGGAGTGTGTGTGTGGTAGTGTGTGTGGGAGTGCGTGGGGTGGGGAGTGTGGAGTGTGTGTGTGGTAGTGTGTGGGTGAGTGGGTGGGGTGGGGAGTGTGTGTGTGTGTGGTAGTGTGTGGGTGAGTGGGTGGGGTGGGGAGTGTGTGTGTGGGAGTGGGTGGGGTGGGGAGTGTGTGTGTGTGTGAGTGGGGAGTGTGTGTGTGTGAGTGTGGGAGTGTGTGTGTGTGAGTGGGGAGTGTGTGCGTGTGAGTGTGGGAGTGTGTGTGGGGGGAGTGGGGAGTGTGTCTGTGTGGGTGGGAGTGGGTGGGGTGGGGGGTGTGGAGTGTGTGTGTGTGTGTGGTAGTGTGTGGGTGAGTGGGTGGGGTGGGGAGTGTGTGTGTGTGTGTGGTAGTGTGTGGGTGAGTGGGTGGGGTGGGGAGTGTGTGTGTGGGAGTGGGTGGGGTGGGGAGTGTGTGTGTGGTAGTGTGTGTGGGAGTGCGTGGGGTGGGGAGTGTGGAGTGTGTGTGTGTGTGGTAGTGTGTGGGTGAGTGGGTGGGGTGGGGAGTGTGTGTGTGTGTGGTAGTGTGTGGGTGAGTGGGTGGGGTGGGGAGTGTGTGTGTGGGAGTGGGTGGGGTGGGGAGTGTGTGTGTGGTAGTGTGTGGGTGAGTGGGTGGGGTGGGGAGTGTGTGTGTGTGTGGTAGTGTGTGGGTGAGTGGGTGGGGTGGGGAGTGTGTGTGTGGGAGTGGGTGGGGTGGGGAGTGTGTGTGTGGTAGTGTGTGTGGGAGTGCGTGGGGTGGGGAGTGTGGAGTGTGTGTGTGTGTGGTAGTGTGTGGGTGAGTGGGTGGGGTGGGGAGTGTGTGTGTGTGTGGTAGTGTGTGGGTGAGTGGGTGGGGTGGGGAGTGTGTGTGTGGGAGTGGGTGGGGTGGGGAGTGTGTGTGTGGTAGTGTGTGTGGGAGTGCGTGGGGTGGGGAGTGTGTGTGTGTGTGGTAGTGTGTGGGTGAGTGGGTGGGGTGGGGAGTGTGTGTGTGGGAGTGGGTGGGGTGGGGAGTGTGTGTGTGGTAGTGTGTGTGGGAGTGCGTGGGGTGGGGAGTGTGGAGTGTGTGTGTGGTAGTGTGTGTGGGAGTGGAGTGTGGAGTGTGTGTGTGTGTGGTAGTGTGTGGGTGAGTGGGTGGGGTGGGGAGTGTGTGTGTGTGTGGTAGTGTGTGGGTGAGTGGTGGGGTGGGGAGTGTGTGTGTGGGAGTGGGTGGGGTGGGGAGTGTGTGTGTGGTAGTGTGTGTGGGAGTGCGTGGGGTGGGGAGTGTGGAGTGTGTGTGTGGTAGTGTGTGTGGGAGTGGGTGGGGTGGGGAGTGTGGAGTGTGTGTGTGGTAGTGTGTGTGGGAGTGCGTGGGGTGGGGAGTGTGGAGTGTGTGTGTGTGGTAGTGTGTGGGTGAGTGGGTGGGGTGGGGAGTGTGTGTGTGTGTGGTAGTGTGTGGGTGAGTGGGTGGGGTGGGGAGTGTGTGTGTGGGAGTGGGTGGGGTGGGGAGTGTGGAGTGTGTGTGTGTGGTAGTGTGTGTGGGAGTGCGTGGGGTGGGGAGTGTGGAGTGTGTGTGTGTGGTAGTGTGTGGGTGAGTGGGTGGGGTTGGGAGTGTGTGTGTGTGTGTGGTAGTGTGTGGGTGAGTGGGTGGGGTGGGGGGTGTGTGTGTGGGAGTGGGTGGGGTGGGGAGTGTGTGTGTGGTAGTGTGTGTGGGAGTGCGTGGGGTGGGGAGTGTGGAGTGTGTGTGTGGTAGTGTGTGTGGGAGTGGGGTGGGGAGTGTGTGTGTGTGAATGGGGAGTGTGTGTGAGAGAGAGGAGAGAGAGGAGTGAGTGAGTGGGCAGTGTGTGTGGGAGGGGAGTGTGTGAGTGGGTGGGGGAGTGGGGAGTGTGTGAGTGGGGAGTGTGTGTGGGAGGGGAGTGTGTGAGTGGGTGGGGGGAGTGGGGAGTGTGTGAGTGGGGAGTGTGTGTGGGAGGGGAGTGTGTGAGTGGGTGGGGGGAGTGGGGAGCGAATGAGTGGGGAGTGTGTGTGGGAGGGGAGTGAGTGAGTGGGAAGTGTGTGTGTGAGTGGGGAGTGTGTGAGTTGGTGGGGGGAGTGGGGAGTGTGTGAGTTGGGAGTGTGTGTGGGAGGGGAGTGAGTGAGTGGGAAGTGTGTGTGTGAGTGGGGAGTGTGTGAGTTGGTGGGGGGAGTGGGGAGTGTGTGAGAGAGAGGAGTGTGTGTGAGTGGGAGTTGGTGTGAGTGGGGGGGTGTGTGAGAGGAGTGTGTGTGTGTGGGCAGTGTGTGTGAGAGGAGTGTGTGTGTGTGGGCAGTGTGTGTGGGAGTGTGTGTGTGAGTGTCTGCATAGGTGGTGGGTGGGAGAGTCTGGATGTGGGGAGCGGTGGTGCCGCGGTTAGCGCGCTGAGCTACGAGCCCGGCGACCCGAGTTCGATTCCCGCTCACGGCCACCAACAACCCAGAGACAATTATCTGAACCGGTACTGGGCCTCCCCTAGGTTGACTCAGCCTCAAATAAATACCTGGTCCGGTGTGTAAACATCGCCACTGGGGAGACAAAGGCGGCCGGGCGTGGTGCTGGCCACCCACCCCCCTCGTGTGCCGTGTCGGCCTTCGTAGGCGCTACTCGCTAACAGCACTTGCCCCTACAGTCTGTTGAGGCTATACGGGGGAGCTTTATCTTTGGTGTGCGATGAACCGTTGTGTCGGGGAGCGGTGGCGCAGTGGTTAGCGCACCGAGCTGCGAATCCGATCGATGACATCGACGACGGATATCTCTGAACGTGCCTACCCCTAGGTTGACTCCGTCTAAAATGAGTACCCGCTGCAGTGCTGTGTAATCGTCACTGCTGGGGAGACAAAGGCGGCCGGGCGTGGTGCTGGCCACCCAGCCCCTCGTGTGTCTTCATAGGTGCTGCTCGCTAACAGCACTTGCCCCTACAGCCTGTCACAGGTCGTTGTCTTTAAGTGGGGATGGGAGCTTGTGTGTGAGTGTCCTGCATTGGGGGGTGAGAGTGTGGGGAGAAGGGGAGAGAGACTCTTGACCTTTTAAACAACTTTTATTGCCGCCAGCAGCAACAGCACTGGATGCGATTCCGATATGAAATACACAAAGTCACCATCAAACGAATAATCGCTATAAATCAAAGCGTGTGGGGGGAGGCAGGAGGCGAGCCTTCTTTTGTACGACCGCACGTGTAAGATGCAGAAGCAAACAACTGTGCAATGTCAGATTGACGACAACCAATGATGTCTCTGTGGCCAGCTGCAATTGTCGCATCATCGGCGGCCAAGCCGTCCGGAGCAAGCGGAGTGTGCTCGCTGCTGATGTCTCATTCGTGCCTGTGGTGTCGGGTTGATTCGCAGGTCGTGATGCGCTGTGTTACGGTCCGTTCCGGATGACCCACAGTCGCTGCACACTGCTACGAGAGGTTTTAAAAATATATATAATTTAAAGTTGTAATTTGTGCGTCATCAGGGTTGAGGGTGCTTCATGGGGCTTCGTCGTTAGAAGTTCAAACCCAGGGGAGTGTTGGGGAGAGCTTGGGGAGGAGTGGGGTGAAGAGCGTGGGGAGAGCGTGGGGAAAGCGTGGGGAGACGTGTTTAATGTTTTTATTATTTTATTATTTCCCTTCTACATGACTTTACCGAAAGAACCAAGAATATTAATAAGTATAACCAGTAAAAACAAAGTTTTTCACTATAAATCCTTTATATGCGTGGCGGCTTGAGTCCTCTCGTCCTTTGGCTTGAGATGGCTGACACCTATGGGTCAGATGATTGCATTGCACCATTAAGCAATTCGTAATTAAATATATTTTTGTCCTAAAAAGTGTAAAATTTTGGAAAACATTTTTCACGAACATTAATTGTCACGCACAATGAGTCTGTGTGGATTGGATCACGGGAAGTGGGTTAAAAAACGACCGAAAGATTTGCACGGTCGTAAGCAAGCAAGCAAGCACGCAAGCACGCAAGCAAGCAAGCGAACTTAATATAAAGGATTTATAAATGAGTGGATGGTTATGGGGAGTAGAGTAGGAATGGTAGGAGAGGAGTCGGGTTTGTAGAGGGCAGCTAACTGGATGATAAATTGTGAGGGACCAATAGAGCACTGAAGAAGAGTAGAGTAGGATGAGAAGATTGATGTTTAGTAAAAGATGGGTGCAAGGGTAATGCGTAAAGAGGTCAGATTATAAGAGGTGGAGCCGTAGAGGGGAGGACGAATTGGGGATCCGTCCATCCCTAAAATCTTATCGGCAGCCTTCACACCAGGAATCTTACACAGACTTGGCGGGGCCAGATGCTCATGCAGAACACGTCCATGTTTGGCGGTGTCAGTTTCACAGCGAATGCCTTCCACAGTGACTCACACAGTGGATTTCCACCAGATAACTCCGAATTGAGTAAGATCGTAAGCGCTCGGGAGCAGAGGAGATGGATGAGGGAATTCCTAAGTCGAGTGGTACGAGAGAAGCAGCGTGCACCGGTTGGGTGTGTCGTTGCGACCTGCAGTGTTGTGGTGGTTTAACAGTGTGGGCGAGATGACGCGTGCTCAACAAGGCTGGATGAATCAGTGAGCGAAGTTCACGGGAACCGTAACTGCGGTAGTGGCGATAGCAGAGTGATAAAGAGGGGACGGACCACCGATGAGCGACTGGAGTGAATCAATGAGTTGTGGAAAATCAAACACACCCGATTGCTGCTTTACTCCAAATTCTATCCGATGCAACAGTGAGAAACTGTGTACCCCATCCCAGACATGACAGCAGCAGGGTTCCTGGCCATGTGCTTTTGTAGTAGAACTGGAACTTTGCTGGAGTTCCAGGAGTAAAAAATTAACCCGTAAAAACAAAGTTTTTCACTATAAATCCTTTATATGCGTGGCGGCTTGAGTCATCTCGTCCTCTGGCTTGAGATGGCTGCCACCTATGGGTCAGGTGGGTTAAAAAACGACCGAAAGATTTGCACGGTCCAAAGCAAGCAAGCGAACTTAATATAAAGGATTTAATAAGTATAACCCGTAAAAACAAAGTTTTTCACTATAAATCCTTTATATGCGTGGCAGCGAACTTAATATAAAGGATTTAAAAATATATTCGCCTGTGGAGGACGCAGGGATCGATCCCGCGACCTTTGGCATGGGAAGCGAGGGCGCTACCAACTGCGCTACTCCGCCACGGCCTGTAGAGGGGTTACGCTCTGGGCTCCTACACTGTGACGTTCAGCCAAAGCCAAGAATGAGTTCTATTTGAATATATGTAAAATAATTTTTTTTTTGCCTAAAAAGTGTAAAATTTTGGGAATTTTTTTTCACTAACATTAATTGTCTGGCACAACGAGTCTGTGTGGAAAATGTCAGCTCGATTGGATCACGGGAAGTGGGTTAAAAAACGACCGAAAGATTTGCACGGTCGTAAGCAAGCAAGCAAGCACGCAAGCGAACTTAATATAAAGGATTTAAAAATAGGCGAGGTCACGGCCGCAGCCCACGACTTCCAACGCCAGAAGTGGAAAGCAGATGAGGAATGAAACGCAGACGAAGGAAAAGTCCATCCTTGGCAATGGGGGGAGGGGAGACTCTAATAAAACATGGGGCCTGCAGGCACAGACGTGCTTTGGTACTTTGTTCACATCTGTGCTTCCAAAATCATACGCGCCTCCTAATAATTTGACCTCGTGTACATGTATCGGTGTTCTCCACAAAATATACAGCAATTTTCAACACATTGCAGTAAAAACATTTTATTGCACGATTATTATTTTTGTTACTATTAAATCTATTTGGAATTTTAGTTTATTCTGCTCTGGCGAGGATCACACAAGCCGACCAGGCACGAGCACTATCCCTTACCTTAAACTAGCCGACTAGATACTTACTCCGAACGAGGGTTGTTAAAGGACAAATGGTAAACCGGTAACCATAGATTACCTGTTCTCCATTCCATACACACAACCCATAAACACACATCACCGAAACACCCAATGCTATCATACATACAACTCCGATACACACACAAACTGCTCACACTCACGTGGTCCACCCGTCACAGTCTCAGCCCTCTAACACACAACACCGAGACGGAGAGTCGAGTCACGGGTAAGTGTAACTCATCTTTATTGTTACTGTCACAACAGGATACGATTGCACTCAGATTTGGACCCCGGGCCTCGGGGGATCTGGACGCGGAAACGGGCACTGCCCATGGGCCCCGGGCTCGACTTGGTGAACCCCGGGTACCCCGACTCCACAGCAACCTCAGTGGTACTTCCTCCAGCGATCGTGCTCTGCAGAACACACGGTACCGGTTAGCACAATCACACCGAAGACCCACAAAGTACAATGTCGCATATCTGACCATCCTATATTCCGCGCTAATTAACTGCTCATAGTGAGCGCAGTGTGTATGGTGTAGTTGTACATTTCTATACATGTTCAGACTGTATTAGCTTTATTATATAGGTTCCACGATTAAATTAATATTTATTTTGCCTCGTTTGTATGACATGTATTGTCTACATTATTCTAGTGTTATGTACATCAGTCTGAAGGTAACATATGCACAATATGCAAGTCATTGCTGCTAACACATACGAGCCTATACTGTGCATGTGCTGTAAACATGAGAATACCTATTAATCGAGTAACTATGCCATGCCGTTTTGGTAATATTTTCGTGGCCCAGACCACTGTTGAATATTTTACCATCCTTGTTACCTTGAGTTTTCACCGGGTTTCACAAAATAATATTTATAACGGGAACATGCACATTTACAGCCACCAATCGTTGTGTGTGTCGCGCAGCAGCGTTCTCGACACGTGGGAGGCCGATTAAAGCCACGTGCAAGTGCTGCCCTCCGGCGGCCGGGCCGGGCTTGTGTCGCGCAAGTTGAGTGGAAGCAAAAAATACGAATAACATCGTTCCCCTTCTTCTTGGTTCTTTCGGTAAAGTTACGTAGAAGGGAAATAATAAAACATAATAAAATACAATTCTCACGACGTTTCGGCCACAACGCAAGCAGCCGTCCTCAGGTAAAGAACAGGTCTGTCGGAAAGACAGCGTCTGAATGAACACCACCAAGCTTGGCAGCGTATATTTAAGCTGGGTTAGAGGAGAAAGGGCGCCCCCTTGCAAGAGCGAAAAGGCGTGCGTGCAGCTTGGCCTACCGCAGGGCACAAGTGTGTCCTCCAAATACTGTTACCGGGACAATTTTATTTATGTTTCTAATCCCAGTATTTACCTCTCCTCGTCTCTTCCATGTTTAATAAGAGCAATACAAAAGACGGGGTAAACGCACATCGCCGAAACCACCGAAGGAAACTCGCACACGAGTCGAATTCTTGAATGCACAATCCCAGGTTGCAGTAGTTACTGCAGGGTAAACTACACCACCACTCTGCCAGGCGTGTGGTGGGTCATGCGCTGCGTGAAGGCGCAGCTAACAAGGTCGCTTTGCATGCCGTTACATTTGTTTGCTTTTTGAGTGCCATTTTCACTAGTTTTTTTATTAACCCCTCCCCCCTTCTCAATTTAAACAAAAAAACATCCGTCACATGCGGACCACTGTAAATTTACCCACGCGTTTTGGGAACGCACGGAAGTTGCCCCTTAACGCTACGGCAGGATGACCACCAGGAACACAGCAAAATGCAGGCATTACTATGAGGGGGTGGAACGAGTCACCCTCCCCTCCCCCCTCCTAGCGATTTTATGACATGTAGGGATTCAGGCTTGCCATTCAATTATCGATTATAATTTTTACGTGGTTAATGTAATGGCATCTAGCAGCTGCAGGGGTCACATGAACCCAATACGCACGATAACTTACAGCTATTTGTCAAACCACTGTTGGATGAAGGCCTCTTCCACACTGTGCTTTTCATTGGGGGTTGGTTGACCAGACTTCGCCATGCTGGTCAGTGTGGGTTCGTGAGGAGTGGGGGAGTGCCTGGACTGGCACACTGACTTAATTGGCACCAACAGGAAGACGAAAGGGCTATCATCTGTCCAGCTAGTTAGATGTGAGCAATAGGTTTTCAACAGTACCTCAGATACCTGGGTTGTTGAAGCTATTTCCAGGAAGCAAACAGAAAGACAATTGAACATTATATAGGGTGATCTATTTATAGACACTCCACTGACTGCTAATGACCCACTTACTATGTCTGGTCTGTCGGAAAGCGTCTTTCGACAGACCTGTTGTTCATCTGAGGACGGCTGCTTGCGTTGTGGCCGAAACGTCATGAGAATTTTATTATGTTATATTTATATTATTTTATTATTTCCCTTCTACGTGACTTTACCGAAAGAAACAAGAATATGAATCCCTGCAGTGACGAAAGCTTTAGATCGAAATTTAAATCCACTTACTTTCTTCTCAACAGGTGATTAAATACTATCTAAGTGACTTTACCGAAAGAACCACGGGAAATGATTAAATACTGTGAAGGCAATGGCTCCATATCTTACAGAGTGTTGAAAGATGTAAGAATTAGCTTAATATTGGTTGGAGACAAAGACTTTTTTAAAATGTAATTTCCCCCAATTCATTCTGGAGGGTTATCTATACACGGGACATGCTGTATGCAATGTGCTGGCATGGAACCGCGTTGACTGCCGGGCCGCGTCACTGTTTCCACTTACTGACGTGGTCGAACGAGAAGATGTAGCTCAGGGTAACGTAGCCCACCAAGAACATGGTGACGCCCCCGAGGCCGCCACGGCGCACGTTGATGTACTTGTTCATGTAGCGGTTATAGCCTGCGAGCACAGGTCGGCGCACTGGCATCGCAGTCACCACGAGTGTGACGTTAATTCAACTTCACCACATCCACATTCATCGCAGTTACAGCAAAACAGAGATGTTACCCAACCGCACGGCGGCTGATGGGCCCTGCCGCCGGTGTCTCACCGTGGCTGCCGACGACCGGTCGCATTCGATCACGGAACGCGGCTTGAACGCTTGCGCGTGCCAATCGGTTCAACAGTTACTAAAGTTGAATTTAATTTAACGATCGATCCCATTACTTTCGGAATCGATTATTCTAAAATCGATTATTAACCCTCGTTGGAACCATCACAGGATACATAAGACGCCTGAGAAGAACATTATCGTTGGTGGTTTAAAAACAGGGGCTCATTTAAGAGATGTAAACCTTCCCACATTCAATCTCGGCTCAGTGAGAGGTCACAATGTTTCCTCTGCATTGACACTCAAGTCCGCGTGGTCTGTATTGCTATGCGTGGTCTGCATTGCCACCCAGGCTGTGCGTGCTATCTGCACGCGGTCACAGCGCGCCACACATACCTCGCCGGACCCCGCGGATGAACCCATTGGGCGTGAGGTCGCAGGTGCCGACCCAGGCGGGCAGCTCCCCCAGCTTCACGTCCAGCAGCCTCCGCTCGGCCAGAGCAACTGCGGCAAAACAAGACGAGACGAGCAGCAGTGAGCTCTGTGTACCCAGGGATGCCTGCAGTACAACCAGCGGAGAACCGGCGCTCGTTCCAGGCCAAGTGCACCTAGAGGTTACGTGACGGGTCAAAGGCTCGCTGCTAGCAGGTCACGGGGACAGACTCAGGTGCGATGGGTTGACTGAGACGACTTGCAGATGCACCACTTGTGCCCCCTACTGCGCCAACTCGTTGTATTTTATCGACCCGGCGCTCCGATAGTTGTTGTGAGCGTCGGCTTCCCTGCCGCCCACTATTGTAAAAATTAATATAAAACGTTTCATGTTACAGGGTAAGGCCCACTGAGCTCCATAGCTATTGTCCAGAAGCGACCTCGCCACAAATGATAAGCTCAACGAAGTGGATTATCACGTGGAAATGTATGGCAGCCAAATAATAAAAAAACGCGCATGTTTCTAAATATTAAGGGAAAACCCGATGACCCTGAAAAAAATCCACGCGACCACGGGGAGAAGACGCGAACTCCAAATACAGTATGCAGGCGTCAAGGTCGGGATCTAACCCACAACCTCCTGTATACCAGGCGAGGTAGTTAATATCTCCCCACCCTGGCGACCATGGGACTAAGTGCTGGGCAGTGAAGAGCAGTTTCAGCAAGAATGTGTTGTACTGTACTTCTATGCCACCGTGTCTATGCTCCCCATCTTCACGACTCGCGTGCAGTATGGTCAAATAGAACCTACGAATTACACGGCATGGAGAGGCATTGATCCAGCAGTGGATTGATGAGACTACAAACATTACGGTATTATATTTACGGACACGCCAACGATCATACTGCCATAATTGTATCGGCCTTAGCCCTGTGAATGTCACCATCTAAGGTCGTTTCAATAGACTTCATTTGAAGTCTGTTCTTTTAGCTTCCCATTACAGTATTTGTACCAGTCATTTCCTTTGGATTGTCTATCAATGTAAACCAGGTGGGGGGTGGGGTGGCAATATCTTAAAATACTTTGTACGCGTTCGATCCAGCGTCTCCATAGCCAGGATGACAACCCTGCTTCGTCTTCCTGTTCCAGTAGTATACCTTTACTTACACAGCCTCTCTGCAGCAATGCAGACTTTTCATGTGTCGGGTCAAATTAGGTCGACCAACAAAAACCCATCATCCCTTCAAGTCGATCCATGAAATCCGTGACTGTGCCACATTGAGGACCGGTTCGTTTGGCTGTCACTGACAGACCGGTCACTCACTCAATGTCAGTGTGGCATTAACACGCCCGGGAACCAGAGCCCCCCTGGGTAGACCGGGAGGGAATACCTTGGTCTCGTTATAACTGTAATTAATAAAATAATAAAAATAAAACATAATAAAATAAAATAATTATTTTATTTTATTGTTTTATTTATACAAATAAAACATAATAAAATAAAATAATTATTTTATTTTATTGTTTTATTTTTATTATTTTATTACTTCCCTTCTACGTGACTTTACCGAAAGAACCAAGAAGATGGATCCCTGCAGTCACGAAAGCTTTAAATCGAAATATAACTGTAATTGTTTACGAGTACAGCAATTATGGCTGTATAACCGCGAACGCTTAATCACTCCGTTACCGCATAGATGAGCGATGGTCAAAGGATGACGCTATTGGCAGCTAAATAATGGGACGCGTTCGGGTACGCATCTACCTGGGAGATGGAGCTATGGAATAAGCTCGTTTGCATGTTACTATAATAACTAACAACGCAGTATCGTGAGAGACGGTGCGAGCGATGTTAAGCTTTACCACTGCGGCAGATGGCAGCATTTGATGGTCACGGACAGACCGGTCACCCACCGTAGCAATGTGGAATTAACACGACAGACTCGGAGTCGCCCAGGGTAGACGAGACACACCGTGGTGGACTTGCTAAAACCCCGTGATGGTTTGAGGGGAAGGGGGGGGGGTGACTGTGGCCCCTGCAGCCGCCGATGTGGCCACCGGTGCGGGCAGCGCAAGGTGACTCGTTGGGGGTCACGCCTAGCCTAGGCCGCAGATGCGTTGCCCTGCCTCTATCCTCGCACCAGACGCGGAGAGCCCGAACCACCGCGGCTCTGGTCGCCTCAGTAAAACGACGAGGAGGATGTCCAATTTAAAAGAAATTTTAAAAAGCAAGCGTAAAGTTTAACGAGGTAGGCGATTGCCCGAGACGAGATCCACTCACCCGACTTAGCCGCCATCTCGTGCAGGTGTCCAAAGCCTGTCTGCACCACGTGACCCTCAGCGTGTCGACTCCGCCCCCTCCACTTAAACCACGCCCATTCTATAGGCCACGCCCCCTCCACTTAAACCACGCCCCTTCTATAGACCACGCCCATTCTATAGACCACGCCCATTCTATAGACCACGCCCCTTCCATAGACCACGCCCCTTCCATAGACCACGCCCATTCTATAGACCACGCCCCTTCTATAGACCACGCCCCTTCTATAGACCACGCCCCTTCTATAGGCCACGCCCATCCTATAGGCCACGCCCATCCTATAGGCCACGCCCCTTCTATAGGCCACGCCCCTTCTATAGACCACGCCCTCAGCTATAGACCCCCCCGCCCCCTTAACTGTTCAAGTTCATTTACAGCAGCCAAATAATGTTAAGCTTAGTGGCGAATGGCGCCCCCCACCCACCCAGCTGCCCCCCCTCTCTTCCCCATCTCGCGCACTCTTCCCGAGCCCCCGGGGTCTTCCTTCCCTGTCCCCGTGGCCACAGAGCCTCCCCTCTCATCTGCCCCGAGGCCGCAGGGTCCGTCCGTCCGAGCGCCACGGCCGACGACGGAGCACGCGGCCCCCTAGAACGTGGCCCGCCTCGTGGGGCCCGGCGTGCCGATGTAGGGGTGTCAGGGGAGGGATTCCCACCAATAGATGGGTTAGTGGGAGGGGTGATCGAGGAGATATAAGGAGAGAACGGGCGGGAAGAGATGGCCTTTGGCAGGAACGATATTGGGACGGCTGGGGACAGGTGTGGATGGAAGGAAAGGAATAAAGGACGAGACCCCTGCAATCTGGTGTCGGCTCCCCCTTTACACCTGCCCCACGCCACAGAGCGGTCTTGGGGAGTGTTTTGACCATACTTCACCGTTATGGTCAATGCGGGTTGGTGTGTAGCGGAGTAGGCTGTGGGGTAAGGGGGGGGGGACCACCGGTGCAAATATCTCACCATTGAAATTGTTTTGCGTGAAATCAACGGAGTTGTATTTAGACTGCGCCGATTTTTGATGCGTGCCCCGTGTCACCGCGCTACCGGGTCACGCTCAGCCCTGAAGGGCCCCGATCCCGTCCTATCTCGGCAGCGTAGCAAAGTTGAGAAGACGCCGTCTCTCTCCACACCATCACACGATACCATCTCTCCACACCAGCTCTCCACACCATTACCACCACACCATTTCTCTACACACCATTACCACCACACCATCACACGACACCACACCATCTCTCCACACCATTACCACCACACCATTTCTCTACACATCATATTACCACCACACCATCTCTCCACACCATTACCACCACACCATTTATCTACACATCATTACCACCACACCATTACCAACCACACCATCACCACCCCTCATGGTGCTGCGATGCCAACATCCGTAACCTGCGTATCAACTGCTCCTCGTCGCTCCATCTCCCCACTGCTCGTCCTGTAGGCCACGTTCTCCCCCCCCCCCCACCCTTTGGATGCCATTGCAATTCGGCAAGTTTTGTTAAATCGACCACCGTCTTCCCTTGTCGTGGTTTTCTTGCCCAAGTAAAACAAATGTGAGTACAGCATTCGATGTTCATTCGTCTTTTCCAGAACGTCGGTGATGTTATTATTATTGTTGAAAAATGTTCTAACAGGGGTTTATCCCTTTCTGGCAATACAACAGGCGTCAAGCAAGATGTTCCAACACAAAATAAAACCTTTTGCGAGGAATCAAGTCTGCATTAACCACACGTGCTTGTGGTGAACATGCAAACAAACATGCTCTGATAATTATATATGCATTGTCTTTCAAACTGATTGGCCTCCACGAGAGACGGCCTTCTTTAGTCTCACCACCAGTGTCAGACCAGAGAACGCCAAAAGGCGAACGGCACAAAGACATTGCATGTGCGAGAGCATCATCCAAAGCTCGGGGTGAGCAGCTACATCATGGGACCGTTTTGCCAGTGTCAAAGTATGAAAAATAAATAAAGTTTTTACCCATTCTGGTACGTGTGGTTAATACAGACACGATTCTCTGAAAAAGCTATCAATTTGGTGTTTTGACATCTTAACGCCTGTTTTTATTGCCAAAACGGGTAAACCCTATTCCTGTTTTTAATACTTTGATACTGAGATATTATTATGGACATGGTCGACGGTAGTGAGATACCTGTCCTAGACCCAGCTGGCTCGTTGTCGCTGGTTGGACCCTAAATATGAAGGCAACGCGAAGAAAAGTAATTTGCAAAACACTTTAATTTGTACACTCCACTCTGGGCAAACTCAAAATCCCCCGTTGCGTGTTCAGCCCCCCCCCCCCCACAACGCACGGGTAAAACTGGGGTCTCCACTGTGTCATCTCACTCGGGTCACACTCCACACGGGTCATGCAACATCTCCCTTTAACAGGATGGCATCAACAACCATAGAAAACAGAACAATAATAATATGATTAATGATCCTCAATGAAATCCCTCAATCCGTAGGCTCGCAACTGCACGCAACGACACCACCGGCAGCAGAACAGAAACGCGTGGTTGGTATGGGAGACCCCAGAAATGGACCAGCTCTTATTTTTTCACAGCCTTGATTTCAAGTTAAAACGACAAACCCCTATGCGACAATAAAACAAAACAAAATATTACTCGGGCAATGCAGCGCGCGCGCACGCACGCACGCACGCACACCGCCTGCGACACATTGCTACGAAACTGTGAAATGATATTGAACATGGCCGTCGCCACGTGTGATGAGACTCAAAGCATTATCGAGAGAGCTGGAGGTACACGGCGAGCGAGTGGCAAGCGGGAATGAATGGTGGAGTCACGGTGGCACAAGAGTGGAACGGTTGGTGACACTATGCCGATAGAGAAACCCCAAAACAAACGAAATAACCCAGCCCTCCTCCAAGCCCGACCGTCTCAATAAAAGAGTGAAACGTCTGTACAAAGTAGATGCTGAGCTCAGCTTTAAGTTGCAGTACTAGCCAGTCACCTCCCAATTGTCCACAGAATTGCCCACCCACCCCCCCGATCCCCACCTCCCCAGACAGCAGCGACGGGGAACGTGGCGGCGAAGTGATTCCCCAAAGTCGTTACGGGACCGGCACAGAGCTCCTCGAGACGCACATTCAGCAGGTCCCACCCTAGGTCGGCTTCGTTACAAAATAACAGCACGGCGCGTTAAGACAAAGCAGAAACAACCCTTGTCGACTTGTCGGTGTTGTAAGCGCTACCTGTCAACATGGCTCAATCCCATGCGGGGGGAGGGAGGGAGGAGGGTGTGGGGTGGGGATGTCGTTGGGGGGGGGAGTACCCAAACGTCTGGGCTTGTCTTCAAGTCTCCTGACACGGGAACTCGTTGTGTAAGATCATCATTGCTTTCTCACAGGTAACAATAACAGCTTTGGTAAACGAGGGAGGTAACTTCAAATAAACGATGAACGGTGAATGTGGTGACACGTCCTCACAAAGTTCACACCTAAGACATGTTGGCAATGGGGGGGGGGGGTTCAGTTACAGAGGCCAAGTGAATTTGATTCTCCATCATCAATCCACTGCTGGATGAAGGACTTCCCAGTCGGTCGCCACCTCTCGCGATGCTGCGATGATCCACCCGGCACCTGCAACTACGCGAGCCGATCCCGTCGCTCCATCTCCACGGCGGAACGTCCTCGTGGGCACGTTCCGCTCCGTGGCTGCCGCTCCATCGCTGGCCTTGACCGTCGCCCCATCCGGCCGTGACGCGTCCTGACGCGTTCCTGCCAGAGCCCACTCTCTTCACAGCTTCAATTGTATACGTAACCCGCGAATGTTCTCGAATCCACACGTTCCACTCTCCGGCTGTCGATGTAATTTCAAGCGTGCATCTCTCCACAGTGATGCTCCGTGAACTCAGTTAACACGTGACTCTACTAGCTGCTCAATGATCCTAACCAAGAGAACCGCGCCGTGATCATTTACTGGAAATTCGATTGCATTGCCGTCGACTGGCGGTTTGACCAGTGCCGTGGTCTCGTTGGTGATCGAGAGGAATAAACTTGTGTGTGGAAGTGCTGGGTGGATTGTTAAATCGCAGGCACTCTTACTGAAGGCAACGGACTTGGGGAGACCTCATCCAACAGCAGGAATGATCATGGTAACCATGGTGGTGGTGGAGCAATGAGCAACAGGCACACCTCTGCCAATGTGATCTCGGTGATCCTAATCAAGGCCCCCTGAGTCTTTGGTCGTTGTACTTCAGCTAGGGGTCAGGCCTTAATTTCGGCCGGTTCTGTCTGGGATGGCGACACAGAAAATATTCCCCACCTGGCACACCACATCCAGTATTCCTGCCAATGTGGCCGTGGCTACTTGCCACGTGGCATCGACATGGAGCATATTCAGTGAGAAATCAAGCCCTGCTCAGGAAGGGTCTCTTTAGCTGACACATTCGGACGCCCATCAATGGCATTGGTTGTGATGACCTCTTGACCTTGTCTTAGTTTCGGACTTCTGAACCTAACGTCCGTTCATAGAATCTCGAGCTGCTCCCGCACCGATTGAAGCCATCCTGACAGGCGTGTTCATACACTATGGCCACATTCAAAAAGTAAAACAAACAAAAAAATCTAAATTCTAAATCAACTCAAGCCAGGTACATAAGCATTGTACCAGCCAACACACACACACGTATATATACTCTTATTGCAAAGTCTGCAACCCAAGGCATCTCACAGATTGTCACATTGATTAGTGTTTTTTTTATCCGACAAGGTGAATACAGGAAACTAACGCACGTGCTTACAGTGACGCCATGCACCCGCGTGCGCCCGTCGCGTGTCTGCTCGCTTCCGGCGGGCACATTGGTTCCGGGCAAACGACGCGCAAAACGAACCCTCGTCGATTCAACCTCGTCGTCCATCCCCACCCCCCCTCTCCTCCTTCCAACGAAGCGCCACTCGCTGAAACTCTCCTAGCCGAACACACACCCCTCGGTTAAAAATAAATCATCTGCTGCTCGCACGTTGCAGGGTGCTCTATACACTGCAGTTTTATAATATATATCTTATATATTTTTTGACATTTTAGTGTTTTTTTTACAAACCAGTGAAAACTTTCCTTCATGTGCAGAGTGGGTATACTCGCGAGCGCGTCCCGGGCGGAGTGATTCCACCCTGCCCGTCTCGAGCCATCTCGAGCCGCTCACGGAACCTCGCGAGCGCGAAGCTTAGAAAAATAAAACCGACCCCATGGGGAGCCCGACCCGGCAGGACACGCGATAATCTTGTATCTTGGGCGCTCCACCTGGCCGCAAGGCGGGGGAGGGGCACCTCTCGCGAGTCCACGGTGAACAGCAACGGCGCGACGCGCGGCGGTCGTGGTACCAGGCCAATAGAGCGTGTTGTAGAGGTCGTAGAGGTCGCCGCCGGCGGGCGACTGTGTGGCAAGGAACCAAGGTCTCGCACGATGCGGACGCGCGTCCGTGCACCGAGCGACTACGAGGGAGCCGCGGCAGCGCCGTGAACGGAGGCAATGTCCGTGCAGCGGGAAAAAATAAAATCCTGTCGCTCGAGCTTTTTGGATGTGCGTGGAGCCTAAACGCCTGCTCGCAGCCTTCATGCGCGGGTTCCAGCAGCGCAAACACAAACCCAACAACTCGCGACACGAACTTTAATTGGGATTGAGCCTTGAGTTCACGACTACGCCACGCGTTCCATCGCCAGGCTGGTTCGCCTGAAAAACCCTGCCAACCCGGCTCCTTCGTACAAAACGAACGTAGTAACGATCCTAACTATCGCGTCAAATCCAACCGCAGGAAACCGCGAATCTCGGCGTTGTCTCGGCGTTCGGCTTAAACGAAGGAAGAGAAGCCGGCTACCGGAGGCCGCGTGCCGGGCCCCAACCCGTTCGCCGACGCCGACACGAAGAGCCCGACGAGCGGGCTGGCGGCGCCGCTCCCCGGGCCGCCGCCGCCACCGCCGCCCCCGCCACCGGCAGGGCCGTTGGAAGAGGCCGTGGCCGATGAGACGTACATGCCGTGCTGCGGGTGGTGCGGGTGGTGCTGGGGGTGGTGGTGCGGGTGGTGGTGGGGGTGGTGGTGGTGGGGCAGTAGAGGGGGTGAGGGCTGGCGGCGTGCGGATCGCCCGACTCGGAGTGCTCGGCGTCGGCCAGGTAGGGCCCGCACGGCTGCGGCGAGCGCGACAGCCCCTTGGGCTGGCGTCGCCACGAGCTGTAGTAACCCGGCTCGCTCATGTAGTGGTTGACGAATGAGTGGGAGTTGCACTTGACCGGGTCCGAGCCGAAGTCGTCCTCCTCGCTCGCCTGTCGCACGAACGGCACGCAGGCAGGCAGCAGAGATGTGGGTCAGCGTTTTTTAAATTAAATTTTCGTTTTGGTCATAATCCGAGTCTGGTAGACGTCAACGATGGCCCGTGTGGCATGTCAGTCATAGACTCAGTCTGTGGCCTTCATGGAGTGGTTCTCTAAGTCTGGTCCATTAAAGCGGCCAATCGGTGAACTCAGTAAATCTTATTATAAACACAGAGCCAATCACCACGTCTAGTCTTCCTCAGTGCAACGCGATCTCAAATGACGTTTGTAAATTATCCGCGACTGCATCTTCATTCAGACTCGTTCATTTAGTGTTATCAAAGCCGGTCACGCTTTGGACTTTGGTGGGTAGATGATGATGGTGATGATGGTGGTGGTGATGATGATGGTGGTGATGATGATGGTGGTGATGATTGTGGTGGTGAAGATCAAGATGGTGATGATCATGATGATGACGGTGGTGATGATGGTGCTGATGATCATAATGGTGATGATGATGATGATGACGGTGGTGATGATGATGGTGGTGGTGCTGATGATGGTGGTTATGATGATGGTGATGATGTGATTGTGGTGGTGAAGATCAAGATGGTGATGATCATGATGACGACGGTGGTGATGATGGTGGTGATGATCATAATGGTGATGATGATGATGACTGTGGTGATGATGATGATGATGGTGGTGGTGCTGAGTCGTAGTCATCATCTGCCTGATGGTTTTCATCTGCTCACAGTCATCGTTGACTACAAGGAAAAACACCTTCACCGATTCATATATCTGTGCCCACTTTTGTTCACAAAATTAACCCTGCAAGAAGGGAGACTTAATGAGGTGGGCTGGGTTGTCTCAGAGGTCATGGCACTGAGACTCTGGGTTCAAATCCAACTTTTATCCACGGACTCTGCTTGAACCGACTTCTCGAGTGTAGCGAGTGGCCGGTCTCAGCCGGGTCACCAGTGGCTGTGGAAAGAGCCACCCTCCGACCGTGACATTTAATTCTGAGCTTAATTTATATAAATTCCAGCCGTGAGAATTAATCAATGTTGACTTTCATGTAAAGAACATTACCTCTGTGTATAGCAGATCAGGGGGAAAAGTACTGACCCCAACTATATGGATCATTGTTCAATTGAAGGGACCTTAAAGGTGTGTTCTTTGATAGCCACTTCTGTGGACCGTTCTCGAACACAAACACTGCTCAGAGAGAGTTCTGAATCGGTTCTTCATCTTGTGACACGACACTGGGGGCACAAGTGGCATGTCATTGGGGCACGAGACAAAAAATATCCCACGAAACCACGTCATAACAATCATTATCATTTCGATTTAAAGCTTTCGTGACTGCAGGGATTCATCTTCTTGGTTCTTTCGGTAAAGTCACGTAGAAGGGAAATAATAAAATAATAAAAATAAAACATAATAATATAATTCTCACGACGTTTCGGCCACAACGCGAGCAGCCGTCCTCAGGTGAAGAACAGGTCTGTCGGAAAGACAGCGTCTTTTTATTATTATTTTATTATTTCCCTTCTACTGTGACTTTACCGAAAGAACCAAGAAGAATAATTATCATATTAATTTACTTATTTATCCAGGAAAGACATACTGAGAGGGAAGGGAGTTTCACGGCAACATCTGTGCTGCGGTGATCCGCCAACCCTCACGTGGCCCTCTTAGCATTGGGGCGCCCAGGGGTCGGCCTCTCCCTGTGGTTGTGGAAACGCGGCAGGGAGTGGCGAGCGTCTGACCTCTGACTCGGAGAGCTCGGAGGGCTTCTCGGTGAGGCTGCTGCTCTCCGCCGCCGTCACCTCGTACTTGGCGGTGAGGTCCTCGTCGGAGTAGCGCAGCGTGCCGGGCGAGGGGCGCGGAGGGGAGCTGTCAAAACAAAAAACGCCGTCTCATTGCCATTCAGCTCCTCAATTGGCTCCCTTTCGTCGACATCATCATAAGCCATTCTCAATCCGCACAGGGTTCACCTGACGACATTGAATATCGCGGTGAAGACACGACGGCGGTGATGAGGATGGGGCGGTGGTGCCCCAGTGGTTGCCAAGGCCCTTGGTGCGAGGAATGAAATGCAACCCCCCGACCACTGTCCAATTTTTCCCCACTCCTCTTCATAGCCCCACTTCCCACCCCGGGCTCGTCCGACCTGTGGGGCACGGTGCAGTCGCACCGCCTGCACACTCAATGGACATGACGCTACTGCCCAACCATTCTCCATCCCGCTACGCATTCAAGGCCTTTCCATGCTTTCGCCATCTCCAGCAGAAGCGCCGTGCAGCTCCATGCAGCATTATCACCATCAGCCGTGCAATGATCGATCCACTGCTGTCCCCCCGTCGTACCGTGCGTAGGTGCCATTGCGCTTGTAGAGGGCGGTCTTGACGGAGAGGCGGCGGTTGTTGAGCTCCAGCGTGGTGAAGCCGCCCTCCAGGCTCGTGATCTCCTCGTTGGCGCCCGCGCGCGGCGTGCTGCCTGCAGCGCACGCAGCACAGAGACACGAGTGGCCACCGCCGCCGCGGTGTCGACGTCAACCGGTCAGGCGAAGACTGGCACGGCACGGTTTTGGTGATATTCCGATGACAGTAAAAGAGGGTTGGTGCCCCCCACCTAAATTAAATATATTTACTTGTAAATAAAAAAAAAATGTATAAACAAAACAACAGCTTGAAGTAAAAAACATTCTAAAAATAAGTGGCTATTTTAAAATCATTTGAAAATTGTTTGGCATCTTAAATTGATTCTGAGAGCACCGATTAAAAATGTGTGGCGTGCGGTTTGGATGGGGTCAGCTCCACTCCACCGCAACTCCTGCCCTCCCTCGCCACTTCTCCTGCCCTCCCCACTCCCCCACACTCCTCCCCACTCCTCCCCACTCCCCCACACTCCTCCACACTCATCCCCACTCCCCCACACTCCCCCACACTCCTCCCCACTCCTCCCCACTCCCCCACACTCCTCCACACTCATCCCCACTCCCCCACACTCCCCCACACTCATCCCCACTCCTCCCCACTCCCCCACACTCCCCCACACTCCTCCCCACTCCTCCCCACTCCCCCACACTCCCCCACACTCATCCCCACTCCTCCCCACTCCCCCACACTCCCCCACACTCCTCCCCACTCCTCCCCACTCCCCCACACTCCCCCACACTCCTCCCCACTCCTCCCCACTCCCCCACACTCCTCCACACTCATCCCCACTCCCCCACACTCCCCCACACTCATCCCCACTCCTCCCCACTCCCCACACTCCTCCACACTCATCCCCACTCCCCACACTCCCCCACACTCCTCCCCACTCCTCCCCACTCCCCCCACTCCCCCACACTCATCCCCACTCCTCCCCACTCCCCCACACTCCTCCACACTCATCCCCACTCCCCCACACTCCTCCACACTGCTCCCCATTCCTCCACACTCCACCCCCCCTGCCACTCCTCCCCACTCCTCCATACCCCCCCCCACGAACACTCCTCCCCACTCCCCCACACTCCTCCACACTCATCCCCACTCCTCCCCACTCCTCCCCACTGCTCCCCACACTCCTCCCCACTCCTCCATACCCCCCCCCCACGAACACTCCTCCCCACTCCCCCACACTCCTCCACACTCATCCCCACTCCCCCACACTCCTCCACACTCATCCCCACTCCTCCCCACTCCCCCACACTCCTCCACACTCATCCCCACTCATCCCCACTCCTCTACACTCCTCCCACTGCTCTCCACTCCTCCACACTCCACCCCCCACGAACACTCCTCTCCACTCCCCCCCACTCCTCCACACTCCACCCCCCCTGCACACTCCTCCCCACTCCTCTCCACTCCTCCAATCCCCCCCCCACGAACACTCCTCTCCACTCCCCCCCACTCCTCCCGACCACCGCCGCGGCCCACGACAGCGTCGCCACCGCCCCACATCAGCCTTCGAAGGTGGCGCCCGACCTGACGTTTTCCTACATCCAACTCCACGGGAAGCTGCCCCATCGCCGTCACGGCCGTGAGCGCGCCAACTCACTGGAGTCGGACTTGCGCGAGTACTTCTGGTTCTGGCCGCGGATGATGAGCACGAAGACGAGGAGGAGGATGAGGATGAGGCTGGTCAGCGCCACCACCACCAGGAACCACCACTCCTCGTAGAACGCCGCTCCCATTTGCGCTGCGGCGCACGCGGTTCAAGTGAATTTGGCGCACGACGCAAGCGACACGCGACCCCCGGCCGGAGCCGGACTCCAGCTAGCTGACTTAAAGCGATTAACCCACGTGGGGCAGGGAGGGCGATGGCGGGAAGAGAGAGGTGGGGGGGTTGTGGGCGGAACTTAGGACAGCGGTGTTTCGCAAAAGTGATGTCCAATTGCAAAAGCAGCGCCTAGAAGCTAAGGTGGAAATCCACTCCACTCGCAACGCGCGGTGGCGCGGCGACTTGAGGGCATGGAGCTAGCTCTATGGCGCGCTGACGCGACGACGCATGCAAAAACATACCGCCGTACGATGCGATACGAACGTGTTGCATGGAGCGTGTAAATGCAATGACATCTCAAGACGCTGGATGGGAGGGGAGCGGTCGACACGAAGGTTGTGGAGTAGCTAAATGAACGGATGTCCTGTAAACACCGAACATTCTGCACGTGCGCCGTGCGACTGTGGCAGGGCAAGGCCCATAGTTTTCTCTATGCAAGCAGCCGCAACAATTAGGGGTGGTGGTGGAACCTTCTGCCTTACTCAGGGGGGGCACAGAGCACTTTCAAAAACCTTTGCAGGGCCTCGCATTTACACACGCTCGTGTGACACCGCCGCTAAACATTACCGTATTTGTATTAATTAGTTCAAATATTTCACCCTTTAAAATCCCTTGCGATGGAACGTCTCCCTCGCAAGGGAGCCCAGGGTGTCGACTGATGCACGCGTAATTAAGTTTCGCCTTCACATCAGCGCTAATGGAAGAAACAGAGGGCTGTCGCCAGGGTCAAATCACTCCCCTCCAGTACCCGGTTATTAGGACTCGGATGCAGCGACGATAGGTAGCCCCTGTAAGGTCACCCTTGCAAAGGAGGTGATGTTGTTCCACGTGTCTCAATGGGTTTATTTAATCTTCTGATTAAATAAAGGATGCAAACAAACGATATGGTGATGGGCACCGTATCAAATCAACCGGTAGGTCCCTCACCTCGGGAGTAAAATTACTGAATAAACGCATGGGAACGAAAAAGGGACAGGACGCGAGCCCCTAGTCGGGCCATGACGACGTACCAGGAGACGGACGGGGAGGGAACGCTGGGGGCGCCGAAGCCCAGTGCATTGTGGGCGATGACGCGAAAGTCGTAGCTGATGCCGCGGCGGAGCGTGTCGATGCCGAGGGCGGCGGAGCGAGCGTCGCCCGGAACGTCTCGCACCACCATGTCCCACAAGCCTTCGTCTGGGAGGGGGGCACAATGACACCGGGTCACCACCGCCGTCAACGCCACCTATCACCATCGCCACCCCCACGATCACAACCATCGCCACCCCCAACACCGCCACACAACCACCTCCGTCACACCACCATCACCACCGCGACACCACCTCCGCCACACCACCATCACCACCGCCACCACCACACCACCATCACCACCGCCACACCACCATCAGCACCAACACACTACCACAACCGCCACACTGCCAACACCACAACACCTCCCACCATTACCATCAGCGTGACCACTCCACAGCCTGGAACTCCCTTTTTACAATCCATCCGAGCTGTCACCTCCCTGCCCCTGTTCCAGCCTCCTAATCTCCAAACTCCTAATTTCCACCTCGTGACGGTGACCCTCCACAGGAGGGTTTTTGAGCCAGGCCTAGTGATGGACGTATCAGGGGCTTTCCTCTTGTGTATGTTAGGTGACCCTCCACCATACACAGTTAGAATAATGATGATGAGCTGTCCCTCCTTCATGCCAGGGCATCTCAATGCTATTTACACGCGATAAGCGACTCGCCTCACATCTCATGTCAACACATTTCAATGGGCACCCCAAGCGGCAGCTGTCTCTGTGCGGCACAAGGTGGACTCAGCACCTGGCCTGCAAGCGGGTATTAGTCTGCTGCGAGCAGTGGGGCGATGATCGCTGCTATGTGATCCCGACTGAGTGGTTCGCGGTGTCGTTCTAGAATGTATGTACGCCGAACTTCTTTCACAGCGAACGTAGCCAACCGTGCTAATCGGAGGTGCAGGGGAAAGGACAAAAAGCTAAAGACAAAAAATTAATGTGGCAAATCTGGCTAAATTGTGACTGCAGCGTCACCGCTCTGCACGCCACCGGTCGCCTTGGTCGTACCAGACGCGCGGGTCTCGATGACGTATCCGGTGATGGGGCCGTCGCCCGGCTCTCCCGCCGTCCAGTGCACCACGATGGAGCCGCCCGACCGCGTCACTGACGGCTCCCCCGGTGGGCCAGGGGCACCTGCACACACAGCCCCACAGCGCCCGCTCAGCGCCGCCGCGTTCCCCACCCCCCCCCCCCCTTCCTGTCGCCGCGTTGCTGCCAACACCGCCGCTGCATTTCATTACAATCGCTTGAGAGACAAACCCGGCAAGCATCGCGTGAGGTCCGGGCTGCTTGCGCCGCGGTCCTGCGGGCCCGCTGGAAGGTTTAATGCCTCTTGTATTTAGCGAGGTTATTACTTACACGAGCTTGGGAGGGAATTTCCAAAGTGACTGAGTGAGTGGGTGAGTGAGTGGGTAGGGTGAACGGGTGAGTGAGCAAGTAGGTGAATGGGTAGATGAACGGTTGGGTGGGTAAGTGGGTGGATAAACAGGTGAGTGGGTTGGAAATTGCGAGTGGGTGGATGAGCGAGTGAGTGGGTGAGCTAGTGGGTGGGTAAGAGGGTGGATAAACGGGGGAAGTGGGTGGTTGCAGCGGCGGCGTTGGATGCGCGAGCCTGTGGTGGAGCACGAGGTCAAACGAACGAGAGCCCCGACCTTTCCCGGGCCCCGTGGTGACGTTGCCCGTCCACCTCCGGGCCGTAGGTGAACGTTCGAGCCCTGACGCGGAAGTGGTAGGTGACGCCCTCCACCAGGTCCTTCACCTTGAGCCAGCGAGGGCCCTCGCCCCGAATCTCCACCGTCACGATCTTGCTGACGCCTGCTGTGCGCGGGCCCACGCCGCAAGCGGGTGATTCACACACGCACATACCGAAGCAGGTATTAGTTTAAGGCTGAGTAGACCTATCAGGAGGTCCACGACCGGTTCAGACGTTCAGCAACTGATGTTGGCCGTGAGCGGGAATCGAACTCAAGTCGCCGAGGTTCGGAGCGCAGCACGGAGCCCAAACCACTATGCTTCTGCTTCCCACACACATAGTACGCCACATCCTCTGTGGTTTCTATCCATTTCACTGAATGCGTGAGTTTCCTCCGTTGTGCATTATAACCACGACTCGTCATTAATTGGCAGCAAACATCTTAACGTAAAAACCCAATGCAGCAGCAGGATCCTCCTGAAAAAGAGTCAGCAATATGAGGGCCGAAGGGGGAGGCCGGAGAGGGAGGCCGATGGGGGAGGCCGGTGGGAGAGGCCGACAGGGGGAGGTGGTGGGGGGAGGCCGGTGAGGGAGGCCGATGGGGGAGGAGGGCCGCACCGTCGATGGGCGTGCTAGGCTCGTAGACGAGGCGGTAGCCGTCGATGATGCCGTTGGGAGCGGCCGGCTCGGCCCAGGACACGTTCACCGACGACGTCGTCACCTCGGAGAAGCTCAGGGCTCCCGGGGCCGAGGGGGCTGCTCGGCACGCAGGGGGCGAGGAGGGGGGTGGGGGGGGGGACACGCGCAGGTGATGGAGAGTTTGGTCATTTGTAACGATCAGGCCACATTTATGTCATAAGACCCTCCACGAAATGACGCAGGCCGAACGTCACACGGTCGATTATGATCATTCCAGCTCGCTCGCCGGTGAGTTGTACAGCACACTTATCTCCGAATCACAGGGGTTGCCGTCGTGCGGATGCGCACGTATCTGCGCGCGTCTCTGCTGGCCGGCGCTTGCTAACATCGTCGCCGTCGTTCCGCGCGTGCCGGCCCGTACCGGCGGAGTCGGTCCACGCGGAGAGCGGGGCGCTGCGGGGCCCGTCGCCGGCGGCGTTGAACGCGGCGATGGCGAGCGCGTACTCCGTGTAGCCGCTCAGCCGGCGCAGCTTGATGCTCGTCTCCGGGAGGAAGAGCGTCTTGACGCGCTGCGACGCGTTCCCCCGCGCCGTCTCCCAGCAGTACGCCTGCGCGCGGTTCGCACGGCGCAACCCCGTTAGGTTCCCACGGGCGCCGTTCAGACATCTCTCGCCACTGAAGTTAGCCGTGACGGGGCCTGGACCCCCCCACCCCCACCCCCCCAAGGTGGACGGATTCACGTTGCAGACCGCTAACCACTGCTCCGCCCCACTTACGATTCTGGCGAAGGGTTAAACGAGGCAGAGGAGACGGACGTGGGCTCTGCGGAGGACTTAATCTCACACCTGAACAGGCACACGACATCAAGTATCCCCATCATCATCACTGGCCATGGTGAATCCACTGCTGGATGAAGGCCCCCTCAAGCCATCGCCATCTCCCATGGTCCTGCGATGTAACGATCAACGCAGCGCCTAGGACGCGTTCCGTTCCACGGCCGCCGCTTTGTCAGGATTCCTGACCGTGTGCCACCATGACACGGCTGCTTGTCACAAGACTCCTTCAGTATGCCAGCCACCCACCTGATGATGGACGCTTGTGTTGCGCCCGTAACGTCGTGATTTATTTTATTTACACCTACGTGACTTTACCGAAAGAACCAAAGAGTATGGATTCCTGCAGTTACGAAAGCTTCAAATCAAGATTCGCCCAGAAACTGTTCAGTGAGAGACGAAGCTCTGGCGCTGTGTGCATCCTCAGTAGTGTGGGACCATCTGCGGGCCTCTCTGCGTGTGCGCGTCACCTTGTAGCCCTGGATGTCCCCGTTCTGCTTGTCCTGCGGTGGAGGCTCCCAGCTCAGCTCCAGTTGAGTGGCCGTGGACCCGACCACCTGCACATTCTGCGGGGGTGCCGTCGGCACTGTGGGACCGTGAATACGGCGATCGTTCAATCAGAACAAGGAAGGGACGATGCGGTGACAGGGTGAATAGTTCCCGGTTGTACAGAGGGATAAAGGTGCAGCCCTGCGATTGCTTGCTAACACGACTAAGTAATTTTGTGAGTAATTTGCGAGCAATCGAACGGGGCGGCGCGTGGCGTCTCACTGTTACCGCGGCGCCTGCAGTATTAACCGGGGCGGCCGCGTGGTCCGAACCGCGAATCTGCGACAAAGCGGCGGGACGAGGCGCCGCCCGGCCGCGTCGCTGCCGCGGTGGAGCCTCTTACCGGCCTCCCCGACGAACACCTCGTAGGGCGGGCTGGGCGGGCCGTCACCCATCACGTTGTAGCCCGTGACCCGGACTTCGTAGCGAAGGTACTTGGTGAGGTCTGGGCAACACCGGGGAGAGAGTGCGGGAGAGAGGGACGGAGGGAGAGAGTAGCAGAGGGAGAGAGTGGCAGAGGGAGAGAGTGGCAGAGGGAGAGAGGGACGGAGGGAGAGAGTGATAGAGGAAGAGAGTGATAGAGGGAGAGAGTGACAGAGGGAGAGAGGGATGGAGGGTGAGAGTGGCAGGGGGAGAGAGTGGCAAAGGGAGAGAGGGACGGAGGAGGAGAGGTTCCGCGCGTCAGGGCTGGCGTCGTAGAAAACCGGCGTTAACGTCGTCAGCGAGTTTTGTTTGGGACGCAATCTCAGTCTCGGCTAAAATTATTTCGCAAATTGAAGAGCGGTGGAAACGCAATGGGGGAAGAGAGGAGAAGTGTGGAGGATCGACAGGTGTTCCCTTACTCTCCAGCTCGTGCTGCGTTGACGAGGAATCGTTGAGCGTGTGAACTAGGTATCGCGCTGCACACACACACACACACACGGCACAGGTGTTAGGACGCAGATGCGGCAGCGGTGGCAACATCAGCAAGTGTCCGGTGAAGGGTTTCGTTATGAACGATGATTACCGTACTCTTATTTACCTAGGAGAGCCTCACCGAGCCTCAAGTCTCTTTTTACAGCAGGGTCCCGCTACGTTTTCGCAGTCAGCAAGCGCTGCTGCTGCTGCTGTGATCCCAACGGAGTGATTTGCAGGTAGTTTCTTTCAGCATTGGCCCATACCGGTTACATGGAATTTTCTTATTTTTAACGAGATTTTTACTGCACACAAAAACGAAGGCCCGCAGCAGAACGTTGGGTGACAAAAAACAACTGAACGCGAATATCCGCCAGGCCTATGTACCTGACGCGTTCTGATTGATAGGGGGGGGGAAACCCATGAGCAACAGAGGGAAAGAATACAACAGCAATAGCCACCATTCACCACGGAGTGACGGTGACATCACCACAGCGCTTGTGCCAGACTAGGTGGCTACTGTGAAAACGTCAGGAGGCTCGCTCACAGCAGGTCAAGAGATCCACACACGCGCAGACACTCGCTCGCACGCACTCAGGGGGAGAACGCACAAACTCCACGCAGAGAGACGCCCGAGTCGGGAATCGAACCCAGGTTAATTTCGCCACGAGGCGTGAACGGTCAAGGCCAGCGTTGGCCCGAACCCTTCGCCGCGGTCACTCACGCGTCAGCTCGGCGGCGACGGCGGCGGCGGCGGCGTCGCGGGCCCTGCGGCCGCCGGGGGGTAACCGTGGCGGCGCGTCGTACAGCTGCAGGGGCCGGTAGTGCACGCGGAAGCCCAGCAGGATCCCGTTCACCGACTCCTCCGGGGGCGCCTGCAGAGGACAGCGACAGCGGCCTCGCTCAGCCTAAACCCACTCGACCGCTCACAGTCGTGGTTTCGATCCCGATCGTGACGCCCGTGGTCGCGTGGATTTTTTCTCCGGGTCCTCCGGTTTTTCCCTCCACATTTAGAAACCTGCGTTTAAGATTATTTGGCTGCTATACATTTCCACGCAATAAGCCATTTCGATGAGCCATTATTTGTGGCCAGGTCACTTCTGAAAAATAGCTCAGTTGGGTTGACCTGGTAAAATAGAACTCGTAATAATAGTAATAATAAGGATACAAATGACAATGTAGACACGTTTGGTATTCGTGCTAGCGATCGCGAAAGAAGGTGCTGCTTTGTTTCATGGACACAGTCTGTTTTTCCAGCAGGGGGCGATGTTGCTATATGGGATCCCAATTGGGTAATTTATTTTATTTTATTTCGTTATTTGGCAAATTTGGAGCGTGAATTTCTGGCACGTGAATTGCGTCACGGGATCTTTAACATCTACTGCGAATAAAAGGGTGGGTCGTATTCCATGGTTAATACAGCCGCGGTGTTTACCAGGACTGCCTGCCAGATTTCAACCACGGACGTCTGTTACAAGCGGCAAACTGGGTCATGCCACGGTCCCAAGGAGCGCGGAGAGAAGTTGAGAAACAGACAGACAAACACGTGGAGTAGAGGATAGTCGCTGGTAGGTGACATCACATTCACTGTGACGCTGTCAGGATGAACGAGCGTGTTTGTAAATTGTCCCTTCTGCTCTGGTTTGTGTCTCCAACACGAGGGCAACGGCCCTTTAATCAACGTGGCCGGTTTTCAATCGGGCGAGTCCCTCACAGCAAAAACAACGTTCAACTGAAATTCCATTGACGTTGGACGATCTTGATGCGCGTTATGGCGCCCCCTCTGTTACAGACGGATGGACAGATGGCCAGCGATGGACAGAGCTAATGCATGCGTGCTTTCAACCTTAAGTTGTAAGAACGATATAGAGAGAAAGAGAGAGAGTAAGAAGAGAATGGCAGAGTGCACCCACCTTCCATCGGACGAGCACGGAGGTGGTGGTGTGCGGCGTGATGGACACGATCACAGGGGCCTCGCTGGGCACTGCGATGACAAAGGTCGGTAACTCACTCGCTGTTTGGTCACTCACTGGTCACTCACCCCCTAGTTGGTCACTCGCTGGTCACTCACCCGCTGGTCGGTCACTCACTGGTCACTCACTCACCGATCGGTCACTCACTGGTCACTCACCCGCTGGTCTGTCACTCACTGGTCACTCACTCGCCAGCGGGTCACTCACTGGTCACTCACCCGCTGGTCTGTCACTCACTGGTCACTCACTCACCGATCGGTCACTCACTGGTCACTCACCCGCTGGTCTGTCACTCACTGGTCACTCATTGGTCACTCACCCCCTGGTTGGTCACTCGCTGGTCACTCACCCGCTGGTCGGTCACTCACCGATCGGTCACTCACTGGTCACTCACCCGCTGGTCTGTCACTCACTGGTCACTCACTAGTCCCTCACTCGCCAGCGGGTCACTCGCGATCGCAGACAGACTCGGGGTAGGAGGAGGAGGGCCGAGTGGCAACGCTGCGCGCCCAGCGGCCCGACTCACCGGCCTGCAGCGTGGTGACGGCCTCCGACTCGGGGCTGAAGTCGCTGTCCCCGACGTCGTTGGTGGCCATGAGGCGGAACGCGTAGGAGGTAAAGGGCCTCAGCCTGTGGGCCACGGACGCAGGCGGCCCTCGTCACAACTCCGCGCTCTGAAACTACGAGCCACCTCAGCCATGGCTTTCACGTTTCTTGTTCCCCCGTGACCAGGGGTTGGCGACGGGCGGCTCCGGAGCTGCACGTGGCTCTATAAGGACTGCTTCGTGACGTCATTTACGTGCATTGTGGCTCTTGAAATATTGAATTTTTTTTACCGAATTTGAAAAAAATGCCTCTTCTTCTTCTTGGTTCTTTCGGTAAAGTCACTTTACTGAAAGAACCAAGAAGATGAATCCCTGCAGTCACGAAAGCTTTAAATCGAAATGCCTCTTCTTGTTACGTTGGTTGCCGATTCCTGCCCATGACACAGCTGACCGACATATCTAGAAGGTGAAGATTGCATCTTCCCTCAAGAAAGCAATTCGCAAGTGGACAAGAGAACGAACACAGGTTAAAGACATCAGCTTGATGGTTAACAAAAGTAACTTGGCCTCGGGCAGGACACAACACAAGGGGTGACGGCCGGGGGGGGGTGGGGGGGGGGGGTTCAAGAATCCTGACAGAGAGGCAGCCCAGAATTGGAACGCCTCCAAGGGGACGTCCAAATCCGGAGATGGAGCGACACGATCATCCCGAACGCGCTCGGTGGGTCGCTCGTCACAGGACCGTGTGGGTTGGCGACCAATCAGGGAGTACTTTGATTGGCCAGCGGCGGATTCGTCATTGCGAACGACGGCGACGAGGGCAGCGGCTTCCTCATCACCGCCGCCGTCGTACGGCACGCAGTCACGAGCCGCTGGACAGCCCCCGCAGGGGCCAGCCGCGGCGACAGAGCAAGGAGGGCTACCTGTCGATGATGACAGAGCGATGATGTCTACCTGTCGATGATGACAGAGCGAGGATGGCTACCTGTCAATGATGACAGAGCGAGGAGAGCGAGGAGGCCTACCTGTCGATGACGTGCTCGGTGGCGTTGTGCGCCACGGGCGTGTGGTGCGTCTCCCAGCGGCCCAGCGGGACCTCGCGCCCCTGCACCGTGTAGTAGCGCGTGGGCGCCAGCCCGTCGCTGCCCGGCACCCACGTGAGCAGCACGCTGCGCGCCCACACGCCGCTCTGAGGCACCTCGGGGCGGCCCGGAGGCTCGGCCCGTTCTACACAACAGACAAAGGTCCCCCGTATAGCCTTTTAACGGACTGCAGGGGCAAGTACGGTTATCGAGCACCTGTAAAGTCGGACACTGCATACTGTGCGGTGTGTGCGCCGTGCGTGATGCTACGCTGTGTCGTGTGTGCTGTGCGGTGTGTGCGCCATGTGTGGTGTGTCGTGTGTGCTGTGCGGTGTGTGCGCCGTGTGTGGTGCTATGCTGTGTCGTGTGCGCTGTGCTGTGTGTGCGCCGTGTGCGGTGTGTCGTGTGTGCTGTGCGGTGTGTGCGCCGTGTGTGGTGTGTCATGTGTGCTGTGCGGTGTGTGCGCCGTGTGTGGTGCTACGCTGTGTCGTGTGTGCTGTGCGGTGTGTGCGCCGTGTGTGGTGTGTCGTGTGTGCTGTGCGGTGTGTGCGCCGTGTGTGGTGCTACGCTGTGTCGTGTGTGCTGTGCGGTGTGTGCGCCGTGTGTGATGCTACGCTGTGTCGTGTGTGCTGTGCGGTGTGTGCGCCGTGTGTGGTGCTACGCTGTGTCGTGTGTGCTGTGTGGTGTGTGCGCCGTGTGTGGTGTGTCGTGTGTGCTGTGCGGTGTGTGCGCCGTGTGTGGTGTGTCGTGTGTGCTGTGTGTTGCGGTGTGTGCGCCGTGTGTGGTGTGTCGTGTGTGCTGTGTGGTGTGTGCGCCGTGTGTGGTGTGTCGTGTGTGCTGTGCGGTGTGTGCGCCGTGTGTGGTGTGTCGTGTGTGCTGTGCGGTGTGTGCGCCGTGTGTGATGCTACGCTGTGTCGTGTGTGCTGTGTGGTGTGTGCGCCGTGTGTGGTGTGTCGTGTGTGCTGTGCGGTGTGTGCGCCGTGTGTGGTGTGTCGTGTGCTGTGCGGTGCGGTGTGTGCGCCGTGTGTGGTGTGTCGTGTGTGCTGTGCGGTGCTGTGTGTGCGCCGTGTGTGGTGTGTCGTGTGTGCTGTGCGGTGTGTGCGCCGTGTGTGGTGTGTCGTGTGTGCTGTGCGGTGCTATATGTTACGCGGCGCGCGCGGCGCGAGCACCTCTGCGCTGCGTGGTGATGAGCGTGAGCTCGGCGGGAAGGCCCCAGCCCTTGCGCGTTCGCGCCGTGACTCGGAAGGCCGTAGAGAGCCTCGGGGCGCAGGCCTGTGAGGCGCAGCTTGACGCTCCGAGGGGTCCAGCTCCTGCACCGTCTCCAAGCTGGAGCCGTTGACGCGGTAGCCCACTCGGTAGCCTGCGCCGGGACGCACACGCGCCCGGCGGGACGGGCGCCGTCAGCGAGCCGTTACGAGAGGCCACCGCGGCGGCGGCTGAGCGGGCGCCGCCGCCGACCGCGGCTACAGCCGGCTTCACGGGTGCCCGCAGCAACGGGTTCGAAGGAGTAGAAGATAATGGGAAAAGGGGCAGCCCTGAAATTGCTCGCTCGCAATCGCTGCTGGCGGGAGCTCGAGAGAACATTCTACGGATAGTCAGTCGCGAGCTGGGATCCACGGGCTGCATCACTGAAATCCAACGATCCTCTGCAGAGGCCACAGAACTTCACAATCGCCTCGATATCCACGCCTAACGACTCCGCGCCTGTGGCTGTACGTGTGGCCCCATGTCGTTGCATTGCGTCCGTGTTTTATATGGGTCACCCCGTCCCAGCCCATTACCCACAGAGAATCGAGAGCTGGCCGCCTGAGAGACTCACACCCGCTCTCTGTGAATGAAATTGCACGCAAGCCGCATGCACGGCGCGTTGTTCCGCACATGGCTGCCATGCGTGCGCAGGTGTGGAGTGGCGGCGCAGTAGTCGGCGTCCTGATGACCGTTTCCGGCCACAGATGACCTCACCGGCCAGAGATATGTAAACCGGTCCTGGTCACCTGCACCTACCCCCCCACCCCCCCCCACTGAGCAGCACGGTGACGTATGGCCAAACAAACCCCATGACCAACAAAGGAGTAGTCCTGAGTTCAGCTGATCCCTAGCCAAGGACATGAAGATATGAACCAGCCCTGGGCGTCCCCTAGGTTGACTTAGCCTCAAATCAGTACCTTGTGCCGTGTGGAAACATCAGCACTGGGGTGGCAAAGGCGATCGAGACGTAGCGCTGTCCGCACCACTTGGCAAGTGTCTCTCTGTGTGCGTGCGTGTGTGCGTGTGTGCGTGCGTGCAAGCGCGAGCCTCACCCAGGATGATGCCGTTGGGCTCCGTGGGTGGCTGCCACACCAGGCGGGCCGACACGCGGTTCACCTCCGGGAAGAGGATGCCCACCGGGGGGCCTGGCACTGCGGGCCGACAGACAGAGACACGTGACGACTGTCCCTGTGCGGCGCAAGGTGTACCCTGGCACCTGGAACTGCAAACTGGCATTCGTCTGCTGCCAGTAGAGAGGGAGATTCCACACTTCATATAACCGGGATCAATTTATCCAAAGAACATACACCGTTTACTGATTACGTTTCTACGGTGTACATAGGGAACAACCAGGACTTTAACCTTCCAATTGCGATTCACTCGCTCTCCCGCTGAGCCACGGGGCCGGTATGATGGGGTGCCCACGCCGATTTAACTCTACGGGCCGAGGGCGAGAGACGCTGCGGCGCTGCGGTCGGCGATAACGGCGGCGTCGACAAAAGAAACGAACGTCGTTGGGCACGTTGTTGGGAACATCACTCGGAACGTCATTGCTTGGAACGTCGTTGTTGGGAATTTCGTCGGGAACGTCATTGGGAACGTTGTTGGGAATATCACTCGGAACGTCATTGCTTGGAACGTCGTTGTCGGGAATTTTGTCGGGAACGTCATTGGGAACGTTGTTGGGAACATCACTCGGAACGTCATTGCTCGGAACGTCGTTGTCGGGAATTTCGTCGGGAACATTGTTGGGAACATCACTGAGAACGTCATTGTTTGGAACGTTTTTGTTGGGAATTTTGTGGGGAACGTCATTGGGAACGTCGTGCGTGCGGGCGGTCGGCGTGCGCGGCGTACCGTCATCCAGCGTGCGGTGCACGAGCGGCGGGGAGCTGGGCTGGCCGTCGCCGATGCGCGTGAAGGCCTGGACGCGCACCTCGTACAGCGTGTACTTGAGCAGCTGAGCCAGCGCGGCCGACAGCGTTGCGTTCCCGCGCACCACCGCGACGCCCTGCGACTCGCGGCCCTCGGGCCAGGCCCAGCCGTGGCCGCGGTCGCTCTCGCGCTCCGACGCCACTTCCTGGTACAGGACCTGCGACGGCGGGAGCGTGCGACGCGCACGGGCGCGACGGTGAGGGAGCGAGCGTGTTTGTTTGTCGTTACGCACCAGCTTTATCCCCACTCCCCCTTCCGATATTAGAAAGCCACTGGAGCAATGTAATTTTACAGCCATCTAGTTTGAAAGATAATTTATTTGGGGCTGTTTTTTGTTTTTGTGTTTCTTTTGTTGTCCTTCCCCCAGCACCGACTTCTCACCTTGTAGCCCAGGATGAGGCCGTTCTGCTCGGCTTCGGGGACAGGGCCCCAGCTCACGGTGATGCTCGTGGGGGTCGTGGCGTTCGCGGTCACGGCAACGGGCCCCGCCGACGGCACTGCAAGTGCAGCCGAGGAGACACCGTGTCATCATCATCGTTAGCGATGATCTAACAACTGCTGGATGAAGGCCTTCCCGATGCCATCGGCAGCAATTTGGTCAATACATAAATCCTAGATTAATTCGGTCGGCTGCCCCACGCAACGCTGGAGGAGGAGGCAGGAGGGGGGGAGGAGGGGGGGGGGCGGAGGGAAAAGGAGGCTCACCTGACTCGCGCGTGCGACCCCTAACCTCGGGGCTCCATGGCCCCGGACCGATGGAGTTGAAGGCCTGCATCTGGAGGCGGTACTCGCTCCACTCCTCCAGGCCCTCCAGCGTCACCTCCCTCTCCAGCCGGTCTGCCACCACCGTGAAGAGCGCCGGCTCCGCACCGCCGCCGGCACCGCCGCCACCGCCGCTCTCTGCCTCTCCGCGCGGGCCCAGCACCCCGGCCCACGGCTCGGCGTCGCCGGGCCGGGCGACTGTAGACAGCGGGCCCCATGGCGGCACGCCGAGCCTCGTGTAGCGGACGCGGTAGCCCACCGACTCCGGCAGGGCGTTGTACTCCAACTCGGGCAGGGGCTGCGCGGGCGTCCGGGGTCGGAGGGAGACACGGCGAGTCGCGAGCACAGCGGCCGTTAGTTCAGTCAGCGTCTTTCGTATCCCGAGTCGCAGTTTTAGTCTTAAGTCTGATCGAGGACACCCTGTGGAACACTAGTCGAGGCTTAGGCTGTAGGTTTCGTTTAGTCAATTCACTTAGTGCGATGCATTGTACATTTTTGGGTGAGGACACGGGAATGATCTGGCCAATTTTGTTGTTGTTATAAAACCCCTCCACCGCCCGACATAGTCAAACAAATTAAATTTGTCGCGTGCACAAGCGTGCAACGCGCCAATTATCACACTGCTTCACCTCGCTGGTGAGGTGAAGAACAATTCACACAACCACATTCAGTGATTAGATGCTGCGAGGTTTTCACTTGAAGCTGCTTCAAGTATCTTCAGGTCAAACTTCATTCTTCCCGCGGTGACAAAAGTAACCGAGCCTTTTGTCCGCTCTTAGTTATCAGTGCAACGAGGCGTGGGCATGGTGTGGGCGCAGTGTGGGTGTGGTGTGGGAGCGGTGTGGTTGCCGTGTGGGCACGGTGTGGGCAAAGTTGTGGTTGCCGTGTGGGCGCAGTGTGCCCGCCCCCCAGCACGCACCACCCAGCGCAGCCACAGGCTTGTCTCGCTGGCGGTGCGCACGGTCAGGTTGGCCGGCGCCAGGTCCGGCGGGGACTGCAGCGTCTGCATGGTGCGCGACGGGAGGCTCGCCGGGCTGGAGCCCACGATGTTTGTCTGCTTCATCCGGAATCTGTGGCACGCAGTGGTCGCGTCGGACAAAAGCAACAGAAGCAACAAAAAACAAATTAATCAGGTGCGGCGGTCGACCAATTCAGGGGTTACGATATTTATTTTCCAGTGTACTACCGAGCCGCGCCAGCGCTGGCCGCACCCATCAGCAACTCGTGCACCGTGCCACTGACGGGTGCTCGCTAACGACTATTGCCCCGCAGCCCCCCGTACGGTGGGAGAGGGCGACAGTTGTGTTTGCAGGGCGAGCGGACGACCTGTAGTGGGTGAAGGGGGTGAGGTTGGGGATCTCCAGGGAGCGCGCGTCCGGCTCGTTGTCCAGCTCGTAGAGGCGCAGCCACTCCTCGCTGTCGCCCACCACGCCCACCTGCACAGCGGGTAGCGACCGTCAGACTTGGCGCCGCGACGTCGCAAGCGCCATCGCAAGCGCCGGCAGGGCCTGGCGAGGTTTCCGAGTGCGCGGGCCGTGCAGAGCGCGTCTCAGAGCGACCGCCCGTCGAGGCGCTCGGCACGAGCGAGGGGCAACGTCGGGGGAGGCGGTGTGACGACTGCAGCGGTGAAGGGTGGGGGGGGAGTGAAGTCTCCAGATGGAGCCATCAAAAAAGCTGGTAAGTTAAGTGGGGTGGGGGGGGGGAAGGGGGCAACTTGCCCCGGGGGCCTCACACAAAGGGCCTGGCTCTTTTGCCCCATGTGGGGTTCCGCCCCAGGCCTCCAGCCGCAGGGGCCTTCAGCCGCCAGCCTGCAGGGGCCTCTGGGTGGCCCTGAATGTAAGGGCGAGTGGACAGGGGGAGGGGTGGGTTTGGAGTGCAGAGGCTCGAGTGAGCAAGCAGGATTGTGTAACAGGAAGCAGACTTGTGTAGCAGGAAGCAGGGTTGTGTAGCAGGAAGCAGGGTTGTGTAGCAGGAAGCAGGGTTGTGTAGGAAGAAGTAGGGTTGTGTAGTAGGAAGCAGGGTTGTGTAGCAGGAAGCAGGGTTGTGTAGCAGGAAGCAGGGTTGTGTAGCAGGAAGCAGGGTTGTGTAGCAGGAAGCAGGGTTGTGTAGCAGGAAGCAGGGTTGTGTAGCAAGACGCAGGGTTGTGTAGGAGGAAGCAGGGTTGTGTAGGAGGAAGCAGGGTTGTGTAGCAGGAAGCAGGGTTGTGTAGCAAGAAGCAGGGTTGTGTAGCAGGAAGCAGGATTGTGTAGCAGGAAGCAGGGTTGTGCAGCAGGAAGCAGGGTTGTGTAGCAGGAAGCAGGGTTGTGTAGGAGGAAGCAGGGTTGTGTAGCAGGAAGCAGGTTTGTGTAGCAGGAAGCAGGGTTGTGTAGCAGGAAGCAGGGTTATGTAGCAGGAAGCAGGGTTGTGTAGCAGGAAGCAGGGTTATGTAGGAGGAAGCAGGGTTGTGTAGCAGGAAGCAGGGTTGTGTAGCAGGAAGCATGGTTGTGTAGCAGGAAGCAAGGTTATGTAGGAGGAAGCAGGGTTGTGTAGCAGGAAGCAGGGTTATGTAGGAGGACGCAGGGTTGTGCAGGAGGAAGCAGGGTTGTGCAGCAGGAAGCAGGGTTGTGTAGCAGGAAGCAGGGTTGTGTAGCAGGAAGCAGGGTTGTGTAGGAAGAAGCAGGGTTGTGTAGCAGGAAGCAGGGTTGTGTAGGAAGAAGCAGGGTTGTGTAGGAGGAAGCAGGGTTGTGTAGCAGGAAGCAGGGTTGTGTAGCAGGAAGCAGGGTTGTGTAGCAGGAAGCAGGGTTGTGTAGCAAGAAGCAGGGTTGTGTAGCAGGAAGCAGGGTTGTGTAGGAGGAAGCGGGGTTGTGTAGCAGGAAGCAGGGTTGTGTAGGAAGAAGCAGGGTTGTGTAGCAGGAAGCAGGGTTGTGTAGCAGGAAGCAGGGTTGTGTAGTAGGAAGCAGGGTTGTGTAGCAGGAAGCAGAGTTGTGTAGCAAGAAGCAGGGTTGTGTAGGAAGAAGCAGGGATGTGTAGGAGGAAGCAGGTTTGTGTAGCAAGAAGCAGGTTTGTGTAGCAAGAAGCAGAGTTGTGTAGGAGGAAGCAGGGTTGTGTAGCAGGAAGCAGGGTTGTGTAGCAAGAAGCAGGGTTGTGTAGGAGGAAGCAGGGTTGTGTAGGAGGAAGCAGGGTTGTGTAGCAGGAAGCAGGGTTGTGTAGCAGGAAGCAGGGTTGTGTAGCAGGAAGCAGGGTTGTGTAGCAGGAAGCAGGGTTGTGTAGCAAGAAGCAGGGTTGTGTAGCAGGAAGCAGGGTTGTGTAGCAGGAAGCAGGGTTGTGTAGCAGGAAGCAGGGTTGTGTAGCAGGAAGCAGGGTTGTGTAGGAGGAAGCAGGGTTGGGTAGGAGGAAGCGGGGTTGTGTAGCAGGAAGCAGGGTTGTATAGCAGGAAGCAGGGTTGTGTAGTAGGAAGCAGGGTTGTGTAGGAGGAAGCAGGGTTGTATAGCAGGAAGCAGGGTTGTGTAGCAGGAAGCAGGGTTGTGTAGCAGGAAGTAGGGTTGTGTAGCAGGAAGCAGGGTTGTGTAGTAGGAAGCAGGGTTGTGTAGGAGGAAGCAGGGTTGTATAGCAGGAAGCAGGGTTGTGTAGCAGGAAGCAGGGTTGTGCAGGAAGAAGCAGGGTTGTTAAGGCTGGAGATTATTTTGATGAGACTATTTTGGGTTGGAATTGTTTTTGGTGATGGAGACACAGCCGTGGAATATAGATTCACAGAACTCATTAGCTTTGGCAAACACATTTGGCAACATTCGCCGTGTCAATGCCTTAATGTGCGAGTATAAATCACAATTGCATTACCGCAGTGTTTTGTACATTTCACACATTCAGCGTAACCTCTCTTGTGTAAACAAATTTCTGTGGCGGTTGTTCACACGACGCCATCTGATTGGTGGCCATCGTCCAATGAACACAAACACACTGGAGAGGAGTGCATTAGAGGACAGCCAACGGAAGTGGATATCACAGAGCCGCCTCTGAGATCGATTCAATTGTCCTGCTTCGAGTACATTTTGTTGTTCAGCCCACCGACAAATTCAAAGAGACCAGCACCTGGGCCACCAAAACAACGAAAAACCTGACAAGATCCGTAAATACTACCGCCGCCTCGAAAAGGAGGAGTAAACGGAAGCCGACGTTTTGGGTAATGGCCCTATCTTCACAACGCACGGGTCACCAACGTGAAAAAATGTACTAGTAAAAACAAAGTTTTTCACTATAAATCCTTTATATGCGTGGCGGCTAGAGTCCTCTCGTCCTCTGGCTTGAGATGGCTGCCACTTATGGGTCAGATGATTGCCTGCCACCATTAAGCAATTGGTAATTAAATATAATACATTTTTTCCTAAAAAGCGTAAAATTTTGGAAAAAAAATTTCACGAAAATAAATTGTCACGCACAACGAGTCTGTGTGCAAAATGTCAGCTCGATTGGATCACGGGAAGTGGGTTAAAAAACGACCGAAAGATTTGCACGGTCGTAAGCGCGCAAGCAAGCAAGCGAACTTAATATAAAGGATTTTAAAAAGCACGATTTTATGGGGTCCACGCAAGGTGGCCTAAAGCCTGGCCGCCACCTCGGCTCCCCGGCGCTGCCCCCCTCGGACGGCGCGTCCCGGCGATCGGGCCCCACCTGCGCCTCCACGCTCCACTTGCTGATGGAGGTCTTGCCGTCGTAGCCGGCGCGGAACTGCAGCATGGCCGAGCGCGGCCCGATGTTGGAGATGGCCAGGTTGGTGGGGGCTCCGGGCAGCTCTACGATGGCACACGCGAGCGCGGGTGAGTCAGCACACGTGACGGACTCACCACAACCACCAGCACCAATCAATCAACACCACCACACCAGCATCCACCCACTCTCAACCAACACCACCACACTACCACCCACCCACTCTCAACCAACACCACCACACCACCACCCATCCACTCTCAACCAACACCACCACACTACCACCCACCCACTCTCAACCACCACACTACCACCCACCCACTCTCACCAATACCACCACACCACCACCCACCCACTCTCAACCAACACCACCACATTGCATTACCACCCACCCACCCACCCCCACTCAACAATACCACACTACCACCCACTCCGAACCCAATCAATACGAACCATCACAACCCAATTCTCACAGCCAAGTGATTCTTCCGCAACGTGCTCACTGCGCCTTAGAATGGACGCAAAAACATGGTTTTGCGTCGCAGACACGAGATTACACAAATTTACTAAGATTGCCCATGGCAAATTCTGTTAGCGAGCGCCGATTAAGGCTGGCATGATGGACCAGGAGGTGGGGGTAGGGTTGCCACCTGTCCAGGTTAGGCAGGACGGTACGGGAATTGACGTCTGTGTTCGGTTGGCAGGAATTGATCCGTACCGAGATCTGGCACCAGCAATGTGCTGAACTTTATTGCAGGATACCATAAAGTCTTTATAGACCCGCATCGCTGGCATCGAATGGGGGTGGCTGAAGTCTGTGCGAGCCACAGCAGGGCTCAGCCGACGTAGCAAACCCAACGGGGTGCGTGCAAGGCAGGCCCCAGCGACACGTAACGGCGGGAGGGCGCCGCGTCTCGCCGTACCGGGGGGCACGCCGGACGAGATGGTAGAGGAGGAGACGGGGCCCTGGCCGGCGGCCGTGGCTGCCGACACCTCGATGGTGTAGGTGGTGAGCGCCGTGAGCCCCGTCACCAGCAGCTCCAGCGTGCCGTTGGGCAGCGACCTCGTGACGCGCGTGTCCGAGCGGTTGTGCTCCTCCCACGAGATGCGGTAGCCTGTGTGGAGAGGGGTCGCGGAGGGGCGTCGTGATCGCACGTGGAGCTCCGGTGGCGCGACCGTGAGAGAGAGAGGGAGAGAGAGAGACGGCGCGTTTGCCGCTCCTGGCAAGGCTGCCATACAATGCGTACACGCTTCGCGTCTATGCATTGTATGGCAATGTTACGTTTGGGCTCAGTGCACAAACAACGTGGTGAAAACAGGACACAAAACTAAAAAGAGGATCGCAACCCCGACTCCGGACAATTTTCTTTTGATTCTAGATTTGAAGCTTTCGTGACTGCAAGTATTCATATTCTTAGGTTTTTTCGGTAAAGTCACGTAGGTAAAAAAAATCTAAATTAATAAAAGTAAAATAAAAATAAAATAAAAATCACGACGTTTCGGAGGCAACACAAGCTTCCGTCTTCAGGTGGAACCGTCACAGCACGCTTGCTGTAATCAAGTAAATGAGAGATTCCAAGGATTCTTTTATTTTTATTTTACTTTTATTAATTTTGATTTTTTACCTACGTGACTTTACCGAAAAAACCTAAGAATATGATATTTCTTCTGCTTTCGTACGGCTGCTGATGTCGATGCAGGGCACACAGCTCCAGTTTCACATCGAGGTGGTCACGCCGGATAACCCGCGTCAGGAGTAGCCGAGTGTATCGCTGCGATGTATTTGTGGATCGGGGCATTGCGTCGTCATACGTTGTTACGGTCTCTTCTGGATGACCCACAGTCGTTACACTACTGGAGAGTTTTTTAAAATAATTTTCTAACCCGGAGGGCAAGCCGCTCCTGTCACGTGGGCAGAGACGCCACGAGGGGGCGCTGGGTCACCACGTCGGCTCTCAATTTCTATTGCGTGTCTGACGTTGCGTAAAAATAATGCGGCCTCTCTCTGATCCACTGCTGGATGAAAGCCTACCACCCTCACACCATGTTGGCCATGGAGGATGTTCGACCATACTTCACCGGGCAGGAGAGGCGGCCGCGATTTTTTGTATTTCTCTCGCCGTTGATTTTTTGCCGCGGTCGTGGATTGAACACGGTTTGCCGAATTTGTTCAAATAAAAAAATAAATGATCGCACCAAATTACCCAATTGGAAACTACGTAGAAATCATTGCCTCCGCCTGTCAAAACTATGAGTGCTGAGACTCGGCAAGGCTTTGCTGGGTAAATGAGCTGTCTCCACCACTCGCACGAACCGACTGGCCCGAGAGCTGGCGTCGTGGTCATTGAGCTTCTAAAAAAGTCTCTAGCCCTGGGGTAATTATATCTGCTTCCCATGGCTGTCACCGTCACTTCCACTAAATAATAATAACAATGATAGTTCAACTCGTAACACGCTGCCGCACAGCATCTGCTGGGCTCCAGATGAGAGAAGGAGGACGAGGAGGACGACGACGATGAGGAGGAGGAATCACAGACGAGCGAGAAGGGCAGCAGCAGCCACGCGGTGAACCGGTCCTCTATATATGAAGGTGCTATCGACCAATTAATGAGTGGTTATACTTGTGGGAGGAAACTGAAACACTCCACTGGCGTTGGCTTACAGGCCACGTGCACAGCCACCACCCGCAGTGAAGACTCGGTACGGTGATGGTGACTGAGCCGTGAGCACAGGAAGCCTGGGAGTCACGTGACACTGCCCCTAACATCTCAACGCAGGCCCAAGCGCACCAGACGGGGCCTTAACAGACAGGTGTGTGGCTACGGTTGATTTGGCACGCCGATTTGGCATGCCGATTTGGCAAGCCGATTTGGCGCCTTGTTGGTGGTGTGCGCGTCGTCCCCTACAGCATGTGACCAAGCAGCTGGCCAGCCGCAACGGCCATCTGCGGTTGTCAAGGGCTGCCGCTAGCGGCGGCGGCGGAGGCAACAACGTGGAGAGTAAGGACCACGGAACTCGGTGGCGTGGGGATTAAGCGGCCGAGTGATTTGGGTGCAGACGTGCGATGGCAAGACCCAGCGAGAAAAAAAATCCGCGGACAAAGGCAGTTTGTGTAATTGTTGTTGTTGTCGTTGTTCAACGCAACTTCCTTTAACAGACCGAAGCGAATATCTGACGGAATCCGAAAGGTAGCTCTGCGGTACCCAATTCAGCGGGCCGTTCCCCGATGCGTTAGGGTTGCACTGCTCTGCGAGAGACGCAAACGGATTCTTTGTTTTGTGCCGTGACGCCGCATGTGCAATGCTTGTAAAATATTGGGAGATACATTTAAAATATATACGCATAGATATACGAGTCATCCAATTGGCCAAAGGACTTCAAACGCGTGATCAAAGCCGCGTGGTCCTCTCGGCTAACGTAAAATAAATCGACACCGCGCTTGTGCCGCGGAGGAGGGGACGTGCGGTACCACGGGCCACGCTTTGCGACTTCTCCAACGTGGGGAGCGCCGACCCCTGTCGCCGCCACCGCCGCCACCAACCGCCGGCGCTCCCTGCCGGCCCCCCACTCTTCCCAAACGGCGTGGCGGGCGCACGCCGAGCGACTGACCGATGAGCACGCCGTTCTTTTCCCGCGGCTCTTGCCAGCTGACGCGCAGCGAGGTGTCCAGGATCTCCGAGAAGCTGAGTCGTCCCACCGGCCCAGGCCCTGTGTGAGAATCGCAGACGACACGGTCACGGCGACGCCGGCGCGGCGTGGCGCGCACGCGACGCGGCCAGAGGTCCCGGCTTGGCCGGGATGATCCACGGTGCTTTCAGAAAAGCCGGGCCGGCGCCTCAACGCATTTTCAAATACGAAGGAGCGGGGGCAGGGAGGGACTCACGGTCCTGCAGGGTGCGCACGAGGCGGGCGGCGCTACGCGGCCCCTCGCCCGGCGTGGTGAAGCAGAGCACGGCGGCGTGGTACTCGGTGAACTTGCGCAGGCCCGTGAGCACGCCCTCGTGCATGGGCGCCTGGTAACTAGGGGCGACCGTCACCACGGTTACCTCCTCCGCCGTGTCCGGAGGCCAGGCCAGCAGCTGCATGACCGGACGTGCACGCAAGCACACACGCGGCGCTTAGTCAAACCTCCGAGGGCGCGGCATGGCACGCGGCGGGGTTGGCGCGCGTGCTTTAGACTCGAGTCGACACGCTGGGAGTCGCACGCGGCACGTTCGGCAATCGCGCGCGCTAAACGCGCGGTGTGCCTGGAGAGGCGGTGCTCGGTAGGAAAAGATGAAGGCAGGTGCGGGAAAAAATACTGATCGATAAAAACGTAATGTGAAAAGTTTTCTGCCGCGTGGAAGTCTCGCCACGGAGGTTTCTGTGCAAGCGTCGGAGATGGGCGAGGGGGCTGCAGGGTCGTGACCTCCTCTCGCCCAGGCGGCCACGATTCCCTCCCTCCCCAAAGCCCCACTCTCCCCAGACGCGAACGCCGCTCGCTCTCTCTCCCGCCCAGGCTGCTCGTGCGCGCTGTTCGTTAAGGAAATGGAAACGCGATCACCCTGGAGAATCGCAGAGCGAAACGTTTTGATGATGCGATCGTTTACTGTCAACGTTTTGTAAAAAAAGAAAAAAATCTAAATCGCGTGACAAAAGAAAGGCCGAATTAGCGGGCGGCGATTCTGTAAAAATGTAACTCAATCGCGAAGTGGCATCTCACGGGTGGGGCAGGTTTTTATTGCGCAAGCAGCTGGCGCTTATTGAATAGGATAAAATGTCAACGTATTAATGGCAGCATTCGACTCATCAAGGTTAAAAGCTCCTCGGTGGGTTTCCTTATTTATTTATTTATTTCCAAAGCCGAGAAATCCAAGTGGAGGTGAGAGCATCGGGTGCGGCGTGAGAGAGGATGGGATTGTGCGTGCAGATGTGGAGAGACACAGAGAGAGAGATGTGAATCATCAGGGTGCAGGTCAGCGCTTCACACCTTATTCCGTGACGTGCGCACACTGTGGGGGTGAGGCTTAATGCGGCCACGCTGGGGTTAGTAACACAGGCAAAGACAAAGGCTTCCCCGTATAGTCATTAACAGGCTATCGGGGCAAGTGCTGTTAGCGAGCACCTATGAAGGCAGGTAAGGTACACGAGGACGCCTTTGTCTCCCTTGTGGCGATGTTTACGTGCTGTACCAGGTACTCATTTGAGGCTACGTCGACCTAGAGGAGGCCTAGAACCAGTTCAGATAATCGTCACTGGGTTCGTAGCGCAGCGCACTAACCGCTACGCTACCGCTCCCCAATCGGCGTTACGGTTTCTCAGCGGTGCCAACGGGAGATGCACTCTGGGGGCCACACGTGGGGTTGGGGGGCTGGTGGTGGTGGGAGGGAGAGGTGTGAGAAGTCGGTAGAGGTTACTGCAAGGGCATGCACACCACTGGCACACGTAGCAGCAGCAGGCAAGGGGGAGAGAAAGCACAGAACAAAGATGGCCACCGTAGGCTTTGCTGCCATGGAAACGTGGTGGGGGCGGCTGCGTTCCCACGCGAGGAGCTGCGGAGGGGCGGGACAAGGAGGCAACAGGACACCGCACGACACCGCACGATTTACCTTCACCCACAGCACGCCTTGCACACAGCACGACACAGCACGCTTTACCTTCACCCACCGCACGCCTTGCCCACCGCATGCTTTACCTTCACCCACAGCACGCCTTGCACACAGCACGACACAGCACGCTTTACCTTCACCCACAGCACGCCTTGCCCACAGCACGCCTTCCCCCAAACATGCACACCTTCACCCACAGCACGCATTACCCACAGCACGCCTGACCCACAGCACGCCTGACCCACAGCACGCTTTACCCACAGCACGCCTTACCCACAGCACGCCTTACCCACAGCACGCCTTGCCCACAGCACGCCTTGCCCACAGCACGCCTTGCCCACAGCACGCCTTACCCACAGCACGCTTTACCCACAGCACGCCTTACCCACAGCACGCCTTACCCACAGCACGCCTTACCCACAGCACGCCTTGCCCACAGCACGCCTTACCCACAGCACGCCTTACCCACAGCACGCTTTACCCACAGCACGCTTTACCCACAGCACGCCTTACCCACAGCACGCCTTACCCACAGCACGCTTTACCCACAGCACGCTTTACCCACAGCACGCCTTGCCCACAGCACGCCTTACCCACAGCACGCTTTACCCACAGCACGCTTTACCCACAGCACGCCTTGCCCACAGCACGCCTTACCCACAGCACGCTTTACCCACAGCACGCTTTACCCACAGCACGCCTTGCCCACAGCACGCCTTACCCACAGCACGCCTTACCCACAGCACGCCTTACCCACAGCACGCTTTACCCACAGCACGCCTTACCCACAGCACGCTTTACCCACAGCACGCCTTACCCACAGCACGCTTTACCCACAGCACGCCTTGCCCACAGCACGCTTTACCCACAGCACGCTTTACCCACAGCACGCCTTGCCCACAGCACGCTTTACCCACAGCACGCTTTACCCACAGCACGCCTTACCCACAGCACGCCTTGCCCACAGCACGCCTTACCCACAGCACGCCTTACCCACAGCACGCCTTACCCACAGCACGCCTTACCCACAGCACGCCCTACCCACAGCACGCCCTACCCACAGCACGCCTTGCCCACAGCACGCCTTGCCCACAGCACGCCTTACCCACAGCACGCCTTACCCACAGCACGCCCTACCCACAGCACGCCCTGCCCACAGCACGCCTTACCCACAGCACGCCTTACCCACAGCACGCCTTACCCACAGCACGCCTTGCCCACAGCACGCCTTGCCCACAGCACGCCTTGCCCACAGCACGCCTTGCCCACAGCACGCCTTACCCACAGCACGCCTTGCCCACAGCACGCCTTACCCACAGCACGCTTTACCCACAGCACGCTTTACCCACAGCACACCTTGCCCACAGCACGCTTTACCCACAGCACGCCTTGCCCACAGCACGCCTTACCCACAGCACGCTTTACCCACAGCACGCTTTACCCACAGCACGCCTTGCCCACAGCACGCCTTACCCACAGCACGCCTTGCCCACAGCACGCCTTACCCACAGCACGCTTTACCCACAGCACGCTTTACCCACAGCACGCCTTGCCCACAGCACGCCTTACCCACAGCACGCCTTACCCACAGCACGCCTTACCCACAGCACGCCTTGCCCACAGCACGCTTTACCCACAGCACGCCTTACCCACAGCACGCCTTACCCACAGCACGCCTTACCCACAGCACGCCTTACCCACAGCACGCTTTACCCACAGCACGCTTTACCCACAGCACGCCTTGCCCACAGCACGCCTTACCCACAGCACGCCTTACCCACAGCACGCCTTACCCACAGCACGCCTTGCCCACAGCACGCCTTATCCACAGCACGCCTTGCCCACCGCACACCTGACCCACAGCACGCCTTACCCACAGCACACCTTACCCACAGCACGCTTTACCCACAGCACGCTTTACCCACAGCACGCCTTACCCACAGCACACCAGCGGGTGCAGCAGCGACCCCCATTCACACGACGAGACCCCCAGGGCTGTTAGTTCAGCCGGGTTGGTACCGGGTTGGTACCGGGTTCGGAGCGGGGTGAGTACCAGGTCAGGGGGCAACCACCACGCTGTGGAAGTCGGGGGAGACCTACTGGCGAGTAGCTTCCCCGTGGCTATTGGTTGGGTGACAGACACGAGACGCGTGTGTATCTGCGCGATGCAGGGGAGTCGTGAAATACCCATGCATATCGTTTGCATATAATTTTTGCATTCAGGGCCTCTACTTCATGGCCAGGATGGCATAAACTAAACGCACGGATGGATGAGTGTACGGTTGAGTGAAGGAATGGATGCGCGAAGGAATAGTTGAAGGGCAGCAATGGATGGATGAATGGATGAATAAATCAACGCGCCAATGAACGCATAATTGGATGCACGGATCAATGAATTAACGCATGAATGAAGGAATGGATGAATTAACTGAAAATTGATGCATAAATAAATTGATGAATTGCTAAATGGCAAAATGTATTTGTGCCTGAATTAATGGATGGATGCATTAGAATTTCGGGGGTGTCCCAATAACCTGGTCCATGTCAGCAACTTGGAAAATGATTCCACACACGGCACACCGCATCCACCATGCCCTCTCATTGTGGCTGCGGTTGCTGACCCAGAAACTGATCGGTGAGAAGTGAAGCCCTGGCGATGCCACACTGAACTCTGCAGCCACTTGGCACGCACCTCCATTGAGCGCTGTTGTTCTAAAGCAACGGCATCCACAACTCGCGCGCTCTCCCTCGCAGTCTGCAGCGACAACACGTGTTCTTTCACGTTGGTCTTTTGAGTTGAAAATGAGCAAAAAGGGGAATTCTTGAGTGGTGCCACTGAGGCAACTGAGAACGACAGCGAGGGAGCATCTATCAGTGGGCACGGCGCCTAATTTGTCGCGACTGGGGGGGGAAGGCCGATTCACGGCGTGCGTCCGCTCATTACTCCCCGAGAGCCATCTGTAAATCAATGGCGTACCGCACGGACGGAGCTCGTCACCACCGCCCACCGATTGCGAGCTCAAGTCCTGTAACGGGCCCCAAGATTAGTGACCTTTTTTTTTGCAGCAAGCCTTTTGCAACTTGAGCACAGCTTGTGCCGACAACTTTTAAAACTATCCATTGGAGGCCGCGTGCATTTCACAGCGAAAAGATTAGGCGGCATCAGCAGCAGCAGCCCCAGACAGGAAATAAACACAACCGGTAAAGCAGACGCAACTGAAATCTAAATCTCGGGTTTGACTTTTCAGAACGGATATAATCCACATTTTGGCTTTTATCGACATAAATGCCGTGGCGATAAAGCCGGTGCTTGGTAGACGCGTGGGGAAGCTGGGGAGGGAGCCGCTGCTGCTGTACCTTGTAGCCCTGGTTGATGCCGTTGATGAACTGTGGGTTTGGTGGAAACCAGGTGAACTTGAGGGCCGTGGAACTCAGCGCCACCACCCTCACGTTTTCCGGCGTCACCGTCGGCACTGCGCGCGCCAGAACCGCACGAGGAACATCCCACCGAGAGTGAAACACGGCGAGGCACCACAACCGCCACCACCACCACCACCACAACAGATACCACCACTGCCGCCCCCACCGCCAATGCCACCGCCACCACCACCACCACCACTCCACCATGACCACTGCCCCCACCACATTCACTACCACCGCTGCCCCCATCACCACCACCATCACCATTGCCCACACCACCGCCACCACCACCGCTCCCACCACATTCACCACAACCACTGACCCCACCACATCCATTACCACTGCTGCCCCCAAAACCACCACCACTGCCCCCACCACCGCCGCCACTGCTGCCAAAAACGAGAGCTTTTATTAGAACGCTTGTGTCTGCACGTACAATCCCGTGGATGAGACGACATACATTTTATCTTTAATAAGACATCTGCAGTACCTCGTACAATATATAAATTGCCCATGTCACATACCTCTGCGATATGTCTGTAAGAGCCTTTAATACGTTTGAAACGATCCGTACATTACATATTTGTAGTCAAATACTCTGCGTGGCACAGAACTTCCATAGAGAAGCCTGTGAACAGCACCGGCTTTAATAAAAGTCGATGAGAAACAGGGAGAGATTGACAAAGACTCTGGAACAAGAACTGAAAAGTGCGCAGAGAAGCACGGAGCAGTAGCGCCCGCTTGGATTCGCGAAATGTCTCCCGGCTCAAACATTTGTGGGGCGGCACTCAACTCCACTGGCGGCCCTGAGCAAGATGTGGCAACTACACTATGGGGACCTCATTTGCCAGTAAAAATATGATAATTGGTTCTTTACCCTTCTATCTGGCAACAAAACTGACACCTTTTTGCAAGGAGTCATGTTTGCATAGACCGCAATACCTGCAGTCATAATACAAACAAAAGAACATATTATCAGAGTTATGTTCTTTTGTTTGTATTATGACTGCAGGTATTGCGGTCTATGCAAACATGACTCCTTGCAAAAAGGTGTCAGTTTTGTTGCCAGATAGAAGGGTAAAGAACCAATTATCAAGATGTGGCAACTCCACGTGCCTATGGCAAGGTCCAGTCTCTCTCTCTCTCCGCAAAGCAACCACTGTAGTCTGATTTCGATGTAAAGCTTTCGTGACTGCAGGGATTCGTCTTCTTGGTTCTTTCGGTAAAGTCACGTAGAAGTGACTTTACCGAAAGAACCAAGAACACTGTAGTCTGCTCACAGAGTGGCTCTTATTTTAACCACCAAAAGGAAATGCTGAAAATAATTTCAATTAGGTTATGGGCATCACAGGCTCATGCACATCCAGGGGTGAGACCCAGGACAAAGGTTGTATGTATGCATGTTGAACTTTTTCACACCGTACATTGCCAACCGTGCTAAACAAGATCATTTGACATAGTTGCAAGGGGGCTATACGGTATGTGAATGAATAAAGTTATACGAATCTAGTCATAACACACACCCGCACATGTAGCTGCTCGACCATCAGCTAGTGCTTGAATATACAGGAGAGAAAATTCCGGTACAATCGGGAGAACGCGGTGATGGACAGCGCCGAGATGGGTTTGCGTGCGGGCGCGTACCTCCCTGCAGCGTCCACTCGGTGACTGTGGCGCAGTACGGGCCCAACCCGGCCGCGTTGAACGCCGCCACCTCCAGCTCGTAGTTGGTCCAGACGATGAGCTCTTCCAGCAGGAAGGTTGTGACCTCTGCCCCCGTAATGTTCCTCGTCTGGTAGTCTGCGGGAAGCCCCGCCAAGCGGTAGCTGAGAGCGGGGAGGGATAGGGAAATAAATAAATAAAGCGCTCGCGACATTCAAGACTCAACGGACATCGACCGCGCATCGGCATACAAGCAGGTAATTGTTTTAGAAGTGGTTTCCTATTCAAATACTTGATTCAAATGTAATTATCTTTCTCCTATTTATTACTCAATTACGTTTGAACTTTTCAAATGAAGGTAATTCGTAAGCTAATTATTTATGACAATGCTCCGTCTGAGGCTGCAAAAACATCACGTTGCATTTACAGCGACGATGGAGCGGAGGAGGAAGAAGAGGTGATGGTGGAGGAGGAGGAGGAGACGCGGCGACGAATTCGGCTCTTGTGCAGGAACCAGGTGGATTATTACGTCCAGCAGTTGATTGATCATGGCTGATGACGATGATGATTACGATCCACTTCATACACTGCATCGGGCATTTCGCAATGTGGCTTCACACAGAGTCTGTACACCATCTCATGATGCACAAAGTGAGCTGCTGCAAAAAAATTAGGCATTGGAGCCCATCTCCCATTTACATATCTGCAGAGGCAGTGGTGGAAATTCAACATTCCTATGGCGGGGGGGGGGGACGACCCTCTCCATACACATTTCTACCACAGTTGCCTTCCCCACGAAGGGGAACTAATTGATCGACCCCGGAGGGATGATGGATTGAGTCGACCCCCATCCCGAGTCGGGAGCCACCTCACCGTGCCGCTGCGCATCCTGGACGGATCGTGTAGAGCGGGCTAGGAGCTGGGTTCCCGACTAGCGACAGACAGGAGATGACGACGATGACAACGAACGTTGTTCATTTTGTAGAACGCTCTTTACTCCGCGGCGTCTCGGAACGCTGGACACGCGACTTACATCTCATCTCAACTCGATCGAAAGGGCCCCCCCCAAGTGGCAGATGTCCCTGTGTGGCACACAGCGAAGCAGCACTTGGCCTACAAGCAGGCATTAGTCTGCCAGTAGGGGGCGATGACTGCTGCTCATGCTGTGTGCAATCCCAATTGAATCTTTCGACAATGGATCGTGTGATGCCAGCGCACCGTGGCCCACTCGTTTCGAATGAAGCCAGGCGCGTGGTTATTTTACGGAATGTACATCCGCGGTATTAACCAGGGCCAGTCTTCCGGATTCGAACCGCGCACCTCCCACAACGGGCGGCGGACGCGCCAGCGGGGTCTCACTCACCGGATGACGTAACCGCGTAGGGCGCCGTTGTGTTGGCTCTCGGGGGGCGGCTGCCACTGGATCATGATGGACTGGTTCGTACGGCCGCTTGCAATCACGTTCTGCGGGGGGGCGCCGGGGGGCTCCTCCGGCAGGGTCAGCCTTGAGGTTGAAGCGGGGAGGGAGAGACGGGGGGAGGGAGGGAGCGGGCGAGAGAGGGAGGGAGGGAGGGAGGGGAGATGAGGCAGAGCAGGAAGGAGGGGAGTGAACGACCCACATCGGTCTCAGCGCTGCCCCATCTAACCCGGCCCCACTTACAGCGCCAAGGCGAGACAACGCGCGCCGCCTGTCAAGAGCAATCGGCAGCAGCGAGCAGAGCGGAGACGGGGGGGGGGGCAGCCTCCACGGCGCCCACGCGTACGGCCCTGCGTTGTTACCGTGTAAACCGCGGCACGTGGTCGTCACGCGCTTTGCACGCTCGGATTGCGGCGCGTTCATTGCGCTGCATTGTCTGCGCACAGCTCTCTTGTCAATCCACTGCTGGATGAGGGCCTTCTCACGCCGCGCGGGACACGGTGGTGGTGGGGATGGCGGGGTGGCGGAGGCGGTAATTATTTGAGCGTGCTTCACCACGCCGGTCAGTGCGGTGTTGGTGAAGGCGGGGGGGGGGAGAGAGCATCGATGCGGGAGCATTGAAAGTACGGTACAACAATCAATTTGTCTGCAGTGCCCCCTGCTGCACGGCAGCGTGTGTCATGGAAGCGTGCACGACAGGGCCCGTGAGTGAGTGCGCGAGGCTGACGTCTCGCTCTAAACGTCGGGACGACGACGCTCAAGGTGACGACGAGCTCCGGCACGCCAGCGCGTTGCTTCGCGGGCGCGGCCTTTCCAACGCGACAAGGGGACCGGAGTCGTCGTAGTCGTCGTCATCGGTGTGACATTGCCCCGCCGGCGCTCGAGGCTTACGGTGGGCGCAGCACCCATCAACTGGGAGGTTGATGAGAGGTGATGGGAGGAAGGGAGGGAGGGAGGTTTATGGGAGGGAGGGGTGGCCCCGGGATGATGAGTGGATTAAGCGGGGGGGGGGGGGGGAAGTGCGACCGCCGACATTGTTTGTTGTGGTTGAGTTCTCGCGCCCCTCTACAAATGGGGGCCGTCCACACACCCTGCCTGCCTCCTGAAGGCGGGAAACCCCCCACAAGTCACGCCCAGAGTGACGCGGCCGACGACGAGGCCGTTGACGTCACCAAGCCCCGCCCATCACCTCCTGTTCAGCGGCACGCGTGCTAGCAGAGGCCGTGACCTTCCCCCCCACCCCCAACTATTACCTAGTTAGTCGAGTAATGGAACCGATAACCGGTAGGGCGAGCGATCACTCGGGTCGTCGGAGGGAGCCCTGGGCTCGCGTGAACCATTATTCACCACGCAGCTCGGTTACGCTCTGAGCCAAGAGGCAGTCACTTACAGACCTCGCCATGTAGATAAGCACGATAATTAGAATTTACAAAGCCAGCCTTGTAGTCAGGAGCATTTGTATTTACAGCCTCGCTGCATCTATTTGTTATTCTATCGTGTTTTTCTGTCGGCGATGAACGTGACGGTGTATAATTACACGTTGCTTGTCTTATTCACCACTTCCACCGCAGCCTCTTTATCTTCAATTTGGCACCGCAGACCAACTTATGAATGACGATCATTTACAGCCCCTTCTCAATCCACCGCTGGATGAAGGCTTTCCCACGCGGTGTCGGTGGTGGGGAGCCGTGTTTCTTCCCATACTTCATCACACTGGTCAGTAGAGGCCGGTGAATTACGGATTAGATCGTGACAATGACGGCATGATCTAAATACATTCTACCCAATCGCCCACAATCGTCGCATCTCGGAACGCAAGCCGTATTGAGCGTGGACGGCTCTTGGTTGGATGTCCACGAGCTGCAGGCCTACGTGGTGGGCAGCGCAGCAAACCCACTCGTTCTACTGCTCCCCGACGCGACAAAGACTTCACCACAGCGCGGAGGATGTGGCGGTGGTGACCAGGGCCCCGTTGCAAGAAATTAAACGGCGCCCCTACCTGTTCAGTGTCCCCCCCTCTTGTTTATAGCTCGGCGACTGGGCCCCCATGGGCCCCCCACGGCTCCCCCGTGGGCCCAACATGAGCCCCCCGTGTGGACCCCCCGTGGGCCCCCCGTGGACCCCCCCCCCGTGCGGCCGCACCTGTCGGTCTCCTTGCTGAACTGGCCGCGGCCGACGTCGTTGATGGCGCAGACGCGCACGCGGTACGTCCGCGAGGGCACGAGCCCCGTGAGCGAGAGGCGCGTGGCCTGCGGGTCCACGTTGGAGAGGTGAACCATCCAGGGGGAGTCTGCGTGGGGGGAGACACGGGGTGAGGTGGGGTGAGCCGCCACGCGCGCATGGTCAATACGCTCAGCACACCTCTCTCGCCGGTAAAACGGGGGGGACCCATCAAAACAGATTGGCGTGCGTCCGGCACGCCACATCAAGTTTACCACTCGCTGCGGCTGTGCCGCCGGATCGACCGGCGGCCCGGGAAGTATTTTCATGCCGGGAGAAACCAGGTCCAGTGGTCCCTCTCAATTCCTCAGTGGTGATTGTGTTATTTTCACCGTTCTTAAGAGGCCCAAATGCCCAAAATGCTAAGTGGCCAGCGAAAGGCAGCACTATTGAAGGTATAAAACCAGTCCAGAGTTTGCTCGCTTATACGACTGACGCTGTGGAAATTGGCGGTCTTGAAAGGCGATAGGCCTGTGGGCTAATATTGGATTAACGTGTGGAGACAGAACGGAGTTCTGCTAATATTCACATTTAACTGAAATGCTCCACAGGAACGCATAATGAGTTTTCACTGAAGTACAACAGATAACGCGTGTCGTGAATTGAGCAGGGTTATTACTGTGATAGCTTGGGGGGGAAAGAGACGATGAGGGAATTCCAGAGTGCAGGTGTTGAAGCATCGCTGTGGCCTGCAGTGCGGTGAGTGGGTGGGTGAGTGGGTGAGTGTGTCGTTGTGGCCTGCAGTGTGGTGAGTGAGTGGGTGAGTGTGTCGTTGTAGCCTGCAGTGCGGTGAGTGGGTGGGTGAGTGGGTGGGTGTGTTGTTGTGGTCTGAAGTGCGGTGAGTGGGTGTGTCATTGTAGCCTGCAGAGTGGTGAGTGGGTGGGTAAGTGGCACGGCGCCGCACGCACTGTTCTCCGAGATCTCCACCACGTAGCGGATGAGAGGGCTGTTTCCGTCGAACGGGCGAACCCAGGATAGCTCGAGCGCGCGGCTCCGCTCCTCGCTCTGCCGCGCGCGAAGGTTCTGCGGAGGGTGCGGTAGCTCCCTGCAGGGCAACGCACGAGGCCGGCGTGAGTCCATCATCACCATTATCATCATCATGACCATCAGCAGCAGCCATGATCAATACGCTGCTGGATGAAGGCGTCCCAAAGCCACCACCAGCAGCACCATCAGCACCACCAGAGCCAACACCACCATCACGACCACCATGAAAAATAATAATAATAATACCACCACCAGAATCACCAGCACATCCAGGGCCACCACCAGCACCACCACCACCAGCAGCACCATCAGCACCAACAGAGCCAACACCACCATCACGACTACCGTGAACAATAATATCACCATCAGCATCACCAGCATCACAAGCACATCCAGTGCTACCACCAGCACCACCATCACAGCAGCACCGCCACCACCAGCAGCACCATCAGCACCAACAGATCCAACACCACCATCACGACCACCATGAAAAATAATAATAATAATACCACCACCAGAATCACCAGCACATCCAGTGCCACCACCAGCACCACCATCACCAGCAGCACCGCCACCACCAGCGAAATCAGTTCAACCACCAGCACCGCCGCCGCCGCCGCCATCATCACGGGGTGAGCGATCAGCTGCCAGCGCACGGGTGTCGGGCGCCAGCGTGGCGTCGCGACGCACCTCACTTCCAGCCGAGCGCTCCGCGAGTCGTTCCCTCCGAGCGACGTCACGCGGCAGGCGTAGGTGCCGATGTCCCCCGACCACGTCTGGGCGATGACGAGCGAGCCGTCGGGGCTCTGCGAGACCCTACCGACGGAGCCCACGCTCAAGGGCGCCCCATCCTTCTCCCACACGTGCCTGAAAGATAATAACAGGTTCGGACAAATCGCGCACACGTTCCGATGTGCGTTTTCACTTTGGAAGTTATTTGAACGGTGGCGTGCACGCCGACGTGTAGCCGTCAAGGTAAAATGCGTTGGCATATTTGTAAATCATCCTTTTAGCACTGTTTGTTTTTGTCCGCAAGTTTTGGCAGGTGATCCTTTAATCTATTCGGGCCAGTTTTCGATATTGAGCAACACGCGTCTATAAAAGGGTTTTGTTCATACAGGATCATCATCTTTACGAGCGTTATCGTGAAATCGGCCCCGTTGTTCCAGCGCGTGGCTGCGCTGACCTTATCTCGACGGTGGGGTCGTGGGTGACGCTGCAGGTCAGCTCGGCGGTTGTGCCCTTGATGACGCTGCGGTCCTGCGGGGGCACCGTGATCTGGGTGCGCGCTGGGTGTTGGTAACGTCAGGCAGAACGTGGCAAAAAGGGAAACAATCAGTCGAAACATTTTTGTTCTCTTTTTTTGGGCCAAAAAAACCCGAAAGCGTGATGCTGCTCGGGAGATTTAGCCAAACACTCTCCGGGTTCTCCGGTCTCCGCGAATTCCATTTCTCATTGTTGGAATTGGTCAAACGTCCCTGTTTAGCGGCACCCTCCTGAAAAGAGGCTCCTAAGATTCGGCGAACGCTCGCCGAGTAAACGAGGAACGATCTGACACTGTCGCGTGCCGTACGGATCTCCCAAGCGTTTTCGCAGTCGTACCACGCGGCGTCCGACGTTTCGCTCGCATGCCGGGAGCCTTCTCCAATTGGGTTCCCGAAGAAGCTCCCGGGGGCACAGAGGGAACAACGGCGCGCGCGTGCGTAGCACAACCCCGAGACACCTCGTAGAGCCGTAATGAATAAAGCAATGTATTATTATTGAACAAAATCTCGCGTCGTCTCATATTATATATTACTTTTATTTTTCGTCTCCATTTACTGACGCATTATATTGATCCAGTTTTTTAAAGACCCAACACAAAAAATGTGCCCACAACGATGGCATTATTGTACTTGTATAACCTTCAGGCTATAATAATAAAAATACTAAGGGTCGCTATTGTACGTGGGACGGCCGACTGATGGAAAATTTTCCGTCTCGTACACGAGCGCAGGGGCAAACGAATTGCCGCGCCAAGACGAACGGCACGTCTCGGCAAGTTTGCCAGACGTATTGCGCCGCGCCGCATTGCGCTCGCCGGCGCGCGCGCACGGCGAGCGGCTCCTGAATAAACAACGTCGTGCCGTCCTGCCGCGCCGTGGGAAGGCGTTTGTGTTAAGCGCAGCGCGGGCGCTCTCCTCCCGCGCGTTCTGTCGCGACTGTCAGCTCGCGTTAGGTGCTATCTCGCCGAGCGTCTCGTACGCTCGACTCGAGCGTCGCCGCTTTGTATAATTTACGGCGGCGTTTTGTCACGCGTCGCGGCGCGCCGTCAAGACGCGCCGTCAAGACGGTGCCGCATTAATTGTGCAGCGTGACACGTCCGGACCCGCCGGCAATCCACTGCTGGATCATGGGTGTTGTTTGACCATACTTCACCATGCCGGTCGATGCGGATTATAGCGGGGGCGGGGGGAGCACAGTACGATGGTGGATTCTGCTGTACAGTTCTCCACTGCCCACCATTTAGAGCGCGTATTTTGGGCAACGCTCACACAAAAGGGTTCGTGCGACGGATTAGCAATTACAACACGTGACAGGGTTATTACTCGAGGATTACTCTCACCCCGGCGGTGACTTCTTTGTTTGCCCAGGGCACCGATTACGTTGAGGCCGCGGCCACTGCCAGTTCAGGATATGTGTACGGAACGGGACGGTGTCACTGCCTGCTGTTATCATGCAGGGTGAAGTATGGCGTGCTGAGTCGGGACGATTGCAATAGACGACTCCGTTCGGTGGTCGACTCTTCAGGTCCTTGTAACGGATGGCTGTCACCCAGACAGCCTGCCTCCTCAACGCTGGAAATCCCCTGTGAGCCACGCCCAGTGGGACTCGCCTGATGGTACCGTGCCCTGCTCCTGACCTCCCGTCCAGCGGCACACGTCAATACACAGGCGAGACTCCTTCCAACTATTTTCGCGTTATCCAATTGGTCAAGTAATGGCACGGATATTCAGTGGACTAACCAGTCACTCAGATAACTGGACAGCCCAGCGCTAGCGTGATGTACCCAAATGCCACTGTATCATGGTAACCGCAACCAACATGCATTACCATGGGCGCCGAGCGACCGGTGTTGCCAACTCGGTGATTTCGTCGCGAAATTTCGCAACTTTTGGCAACATTTTGGCAAAGCGACAAACCCATTGACTTCAACTGATTTGGGAGCGATTCCCGTAGTAAGTTTAGGTTCTTGAATCAGTTCACTCCGTGTCAGAGAGTGATATCCTGCTGCTCAAATGAGCATCGTTGCTGTGCCCTGAACCAGTGGTGAAAATCCCACGTTCCTGCGGCAGGGGCGAGTCTATCCATAAGCAAAACCACAGTGGACTTCCCCATAAAGTGGTGCTCGTTCTATCAACCGCGGAGGGATGATGGGCTGAGTCAACCACAACCGGGATTTGAACTCGCAACCTTCCGCTTGCGAGCAGCTCGCTCCACCGCTGAGCCACCGTCGTACCCGGTGCGCGGTCTAGGGCCGCAGTTCCAGGGACGTACAAGAAATACCATTCTGGTTCAGCTCGCGCACCGCTCGGTAAATTATCCAGCGGTGACATCTGACGACTCGAGACGTTCCGGCTAGCGACACCTCGTGACCGTGAGGCTCGTTTGGCGGCCTCCTAGCCCATCGAAGGAATTTTTTTGCGAGCAAGCGCCAGCGCGGGCGCCAGCGTGGGGAGGCAGCGTGGGTGTCAGCGTGCACAACGCACCGAGGACCAGCAGGCTGCCCTCCTGCGAGTCGGCGCCGCGCGAGTTGGTCGCCACGCAGCTGTAGCTGCCGGCGTCCCCGAGCCGCGCCGGGCTCACCAGGAGCCCGCCTGACTCGAGCAGCGTGAAGCGCGCCGTCTGCACCGAGCCACTCACCAGCACCACCCCGCCGTCTGCACCAGCGTGGTGGGGGGGGGGGGGGGGGCACGCGTGAGAGGGAAGAGAGAGAAAGAACAGAGTGAGAGAGACGGGACAGCGACGTCGCCGAGTCCATGGGCACAAGTGTAACGGTAAAGGCGCAGCCCTGCAATTTCTTTGCTCACGCCACTGCTTGGCCGGAAGGGCCTTAACTTAGAGCCCTAGAGGCCCCCTCTTGAGGGCGTTTTGGCCTACTCTTCCACACACCGTTTAATAATCACACGTGCAAAACCCACGATGAGGTGCTCGGGGGCTGGCTATGATTACGTCGATGGCCGTCGTGTTGCGGCCTTGGCCGGGAAGTGGAATCGCACTGCAGACGTCGTTCCTTGCTTTTCTACTCGTACCATTATTGTTATTGGCCTGGGGTCGTGACCCCAATCCAATGACAACGGCAAAACCGCTGCGGGTCGTGGCCCACAGTTTCAGGAATACTGCATTAAAGGAATAACAACTTCACAAACGGGAGCATTTAATTAATTACTCCGCCAAAACCAAGGAAGCTCGACAATGTTTATTTTTCCGTCGAGTGAAAGATGAAAAATTGCCCCCCCCCCCCCCCCCCCGATCCTTGTCGGCAACAAAAACCGAAAGGAAAGAAGCAAAATATTAATTTTGATTGGCCCCGTTAAAAATGCTGTGCGATTAAAAGCTAACGTGAAATCGAACACTGACAAATCGTGTTTACATTCTGAGCCTGCTGGGCCATCGTTTATGAGCGCCTGAAGTTGCGTTCCACGTTCCGTGCGCGGGCGGCCTGGGCCCCATGGCTCGCCGTGCACCTGTGCGCTTTGCTCTCTTACAAGATTGTCGTAAAAAGTGCAATTTACGGGAGCATGTTAGTGGATTTAAACGAGCTCAAAGGGGAGGGGGGGTGCCAGTTATTTCTCACGGCTACGCGGCGGACCCATTTATTAAGAGGAGACTGATTCATCAATCACTGACACGGGTTTAATTTTTTAGCGCCGCCCTCACCGTGCCGAATGCCTCTGAGCACAAACAAAGCATCAAACGGATCTGACAGGCGCCTTATTATTAAACACTCGAAAAGGAAAACATCAAAGTGCCCGCTTGCCAACGTGTCACTTGAGCCCGCAGCAAATGGCACAAGAGGCTGAAAAAACATTTGACGGTCAACAGGGCAAAGAGGCGCTGAGAGGTCTCCATTCTAGCATCGTGCAGGATGGAGGAACGGGGAGGCACCGGGACAGACGCCGAAGTGGTACCCTGGAGGTCAGCGATGAACTGAAGCCACGTGGTTGGTTACGACGTACGGGAGGGCATTGAGTGTCCACCGTATGACGGCTGCATGATCTGGCGGGATGGAAGAGATGGTCCAGGAGTGGTGGAATCTTTGACACTGGCTATGGTGACCCCTCGACCTTGAGTTTCAGAGCGTACTCTCAATTGACGCCCCGTTTCCACTGGCACACTCGAGCCAAGCCGGCATGATGCGCTCACTGGCTAATTGTCGTGCCGAGCCGGAACCAAACCGTGACGCACTGGCCTCGCGACACATCTGAATCCAGTTTGGGGCCGAGCAGGGCCCAGAGGCGGGGCTAACGACTCGTCCATTGCGTTCGACGCCGGTGCCGGGTCACCGCGTCGCCCTTTACACGGCACGGCTCGGCTTCCCGCAGTGGAAAAAAACAACCGACGCGTGGGAGCCGCTCTCCACACGGGACGCGCGGGCCGCTGTGGGTCCCCCCCACCCCCTCCCCACCTTTCTGCCAGGTGATGGACGGGCGCGGAGCTCCCAGCGCTTCGCACGGCAGGACGATCGCGTGGCCCTCGATGACCAGCGTGTCGGTCGGCCCTCGCGTGATGTTGGCGGCGATGCCTGCGGGCGACAGTCGCGACGGGCAAGGTGGAAGATGACGATGGGGAAAAGCGGTAATGGGTGGGGGGGGGGTAACTGAGAAGAGTTGGGTCGTGTGGGGAGTGGCAGTGGCGGTCGGGAAACGCCTAGGGCCCTCTGGCTGCCGACTGCAAGCGTAGCGGTCATTTTAAGTTGGAATGAAAATGGTGCTTTTCAAACTTCATTGTTCGTGCCCCGTCTCATGCCCACCAGGGTCCAGATGTTCGTGTTTACCGGACAACGCACGCAAATGTCATTTATCGTCAGAACACAGCGAGGTGGGTTTACAGCGCGCCATATACGGTACACATATATAACATGCGGGCATCTGTTGTTGCTAAAGCAGACGCACAAATTGATATCCGAGCAGCGCCCCATGATTGAAGGATATTTGTGAACATGAAACGACAAGACTCTGGGGTGTGCGGGGGGATAATGAGTGCAATTTGTCAAGCACGCCATGGGCATAAGCTATCGAGCGCACACCGGGCATTAAGGCCGTCAGTAGGGGGCGATGATTGCTGCACTTTGACTGGCGCCAGCGCACAATGGCCAAATCGCTCAGAACGTCAGGGGGATCTCTAACGGCCACTCCGAAGCATGTGGCATTTCATGCTCCCCAAGGGTGCGAGTGCATGCGTGTGTGTTGGTGTATGTCGGTGTGCACGTGTGCGGTAGTGCAGCGGTTAGCACGCCGCCCAGCAAACCCAGGTTCAATTCCCACTCACGGTCAAGACTCGGTGACGACTATCTGAATCTGGCCCTGGGCCTCCCCTAGGTCGACTCAGCCTCAAATTAGTACCTGGTGCGGTGTGTAAACATCGCCAATCCGGAGACAAAGGCGGCCGAGCATGGTGCTGGCCACCCACCCCCTCGTGTGCCGTGCCGGCCTTCATAGGTGCTCGCTAACAGCACTTGCCCCAACAGTGTGCTAAGGCTACACCGGTTGATCTTTGTCTTGTGCAGGACCACCCCGGCGTCCGTCGCGAGTACTCACTGGTGACCGAGAGGTGCGTGTACGTCTGCACCTCCCCGGCCTGGTTGGACACCACGCACTGGTAGATGCCCGTGTCGTCAGGCTCCAGGCGGCCTATCTGCAGGCTCCCGCTGGGCAGTACGACGTAGCGTCTAGCCGAGAGGTCGCCCACGCGCACCGCGTCCTTGTACCACTGCAGCGATGGTCGCGGCGAACCTGTAGGGAATGCACGGAGACCACCGCTTGAAAAGGCATTGTGGCCGAACACAGCGTGGTGGTGGTGGTGGTGGACGAGCCCAAAGAGTCGGTCCGGTAGCGACCGAGTCTTCAAGAGGGGTGCTCGATAATGACCATGGTTGTAGCAATATCAGAGTGATGAGGAGCGACGACTGACCCACCAGACGAGCGAGTGACTGGAGCGAATCAATGGGTTCTGGATCGTCCATCACGCCGACCAATAAGCGTAGAATTTCGACTGAGTGCAGCGGTGACGTCGGGACAGGGGTGCGGGACATCTGAATACAACGGCAGCAGGATTCCAACTCGGGCTAAATTTGTGCGCGGAGGGATGCGTACGGACACCCCGTCTCCCCGCACCCCGGGAGGTCGCCGCGTGGCTACCGAGCAGCGGCTGCGGGACCGGGCAGGAGGCAGACGGCATTGGCGGGCAAGGCCACCGTGGCATCTTGATCTTGATCCACAGGCCGCTCCCTGGTCACGCCACCTAATCCCGCCGCCCCCCCTCAAAGCCCCTGGCTGACCCCCCCTGCCCCTGCAATATCCACCGTGTAAAATATGATGAAAATATTTCATCAGTTTATGCCGGTTTATTAAAGCGTACATGATGAATTACCCCACTATCCACGGGCGAAGCCTCGGTGTGCTTACGAAATTTATGGTAACTAAATGACACGTCCGGAGGCCGCCGCTCTGCCGCCCGTGAAATTATATTAGCCTTGTTCGGCTATTAGGGACGCGCGTGGGCACGCACGTGGGCACGGGCGTGCACACGCGCCAGCCGCCGTGCGTGCACCGCACGGCGCACTACGCCGACGAAGCCCCCGACGTGGCGCCTTCTCATGGCAACAACGCCCCCCCCCACCGCCCCTCCCGATTCGTAATCTCCTATCCGTGAAGAATTATTATTATCATTGGCAATATTACTTTAATTTAAAAAAATCACCCCACTGCCACATTTTGCATGCAGGGAAATGATTTAGGGGAAAATCACGGGCGTCTGGCAGATTATTTTTGTTCCACGCGCCGAGAACGCGATGTTCGGGGGGGGGGGGGGGGTGGCAGGAGCACCGGTTTAAGCAAAGACGATAGCCGGGGGGGGGGGGGGGGGGAGGAAATTACGAAAAACCAATTGGGACTACCAAACCGCTCACGAAAATGCAAAGTGGTCCGCTAGGCCCGAGATGTTCCATTTGGGTACGTGAGGGCCGCAATTAATTCACCGTTATTTCAGCCATTTCAAAAGAGATTTATAGGTCTCACGACACTTCCCATGAACTGTGTCGGCATTGCAGCTTGTAAGCAAAAGAAGGCAATGTTTTTTTACGTATTAACGTCACGGGCAGAGGCGGGGCTGAGCCGATTGTGCCGCACAACGCCAACAGAGGTGCCCGCTCCCCGCGACGGCGGACCGCCACGCCTATAAATCCTTTATATGCGTGGCATTGGGGCGGCTAGTCCTCTCGTCCTCTGGCTTGAGATGGCTGCCACCTATGGGTCAGATGATTGTCTGGCAGCATTAAACAATTGGTAAATAAATATCTATTTATTTTTGCCTAAACAGTGTAAAATTTTGGAAATTTTCACGAAAATGCATTGTCACGCACAACGAGTCTGTGTGCAAAATGTCAGCTCGATTGGATCACAGGAAGTGGGTTAAAAAACGACCGAAAAATTTGCACGGTCCTAAGCAAGCAAGCGAACTTAATATAAAGGATTTAAAAAGACAGCAATACAATTTTTTTTTTCATACATGCAAATGCATTTTGCCCCGACAGCTGCCGGTCGGCTTGCATACCGCCAATAAATACTTCTAATACTTCCATCTACATGCACAGTTTAGAGAGCTTTGGATAACTGCGCGTGATTAATTCCCCGCTCGATCAAATAATGATTTTGAAAAATCTGCCGCGGGTATTGATCTCCTTGAAGCTGGACCTTAGCAGAGAGATTCCTCTGCTAACTGTGCCTCGTTAAATTGTTAACGCGACCGCTTAACCGCGCGCGAGCCAAGCGTTTAGCGAGAGAGCGTGCAGGGTGGGAGCACGGTTCGCTAACCGCACGCATGCTCGGCGTGCCAACGACGCCACCTCACAGCAGCCCTCCTCTAAAACGACAACGCCGGATCACACGAACCCTCACGCTTCGTCTAAACGATGCGAAATACAGGAAAGAGCGTGCGGGCTGAACATGAATGCACAATCGTGATAACAAATAGTGATACGAGTCACAAATGGTGATTTCTCGACAGCAATGGGGAACTGTGGTGACCAGAAGCTCAGTCCTCCCAGCATGCCTTGCGTGTCACAAGAAACAGCGCTTTGTTTCAGACCACAAACCCGACGTGGTCAGCACTGTGGCCATGTTATTCAAGGAGGGTTGTTACACAACAAGCTTTTGAGAGGTGGCAATTATTTGGGGAAGGCTTTCACCCAGCAGTGGATAGACCATGGCTGCTGCCGTAAGTATTATTATTGAACTATTTCAGGCTACAGCATGACAATGAGACAACCATGTGTTGGAGCAGTTTCACCCTTGCTAGCAATCATCATTGCTATCCACCCTTGCCTGCTACCTTGTGTTTCATGGGCTTATGTTGACAAGTCCTCCGCGATCACTATGGGGACACAATGGCATATTCTTACGTCTAGAAAACACCGCTTTCGCCCGCACACACGTGGTGTTGGGACAGGGGAAGGAGGGGGGGAGGAGAGAGGAGGAGGCTCTAGCAGAGAGGGGATTACGTCGCACAGCGGCCTCCACGCGCGCCATCAACAGCGGCCGCGCGCGCTGGCGCTTAACGAGCTCAACCCCGCTCACCAGCAGATAACGAGCGGCGACCTATCCCAGCGAGAGGTCAAACGCGCCGATCGGCACGAGCGGGCGGGACAGGCCGTGGCGGCGCCAAGTGAGAGCAAAACCAAGCCGGGAGTGCGGGGCTACAAAGAGGCTCAAAGGAGCTCGGTTTGGTGAGCAAAAAAAGGAGAAGGGGGGGGGTCAAAATAAGTCTCAGATCAGATTCGAACCTCAGCAAACACTGACTACCGCAAAACGCCAATGGATCTCTCCCGTCTGCCACCGTCTTCCCATCTGGCAGCGGCTCTCCTCGCCTGCGGATCTCTTCTCTTCCCACATGTCTATATGTCTCGTCTGTATCCCGTATGTCGTCTCAATAGGACTGTATCAATTGAAAGGGGGGAAGGGTGGGTGACGGCCCAAAATAATATCTGCTTCGGGTTCCCAAAGGGCTGGCAGGGTAGGTTTAACTTCACGTCACTCCCCCTCTTAATTTCACTATGAAACCAAGACACAGAGCTTGCTTGCACCCGTACCCAACTTGTTTACCAGCGCCTCTTGATCTCACGTGCTCTCACCGTCTTTTCCGATTCGCGCACAGCGGTGGGTTCGTGTCACTTGTTAGACTCAAATACAGAGCTCTACTTGCACCTGCACCTCTTGCTCTCACATTGTATCTGCACTTTCTGCCGCGCGTGTTTCATTTACGACCACTGAACGCCTCGTTTGTGAGTCGTGCAGTGTTCCTGAAGGACCCTGTTTGAACTCGTCGTCTGCTGTGTCGATGTTTTTCGTCTTTGTTGCTGCTGCTGCTGCTGCTGCCGCTGTGCTCATGCAGCGCCCCCTGATCTCCCGTGTAAGATATCCGGGCAACTGGATAAACGGGATAATCCGCGAAAAGCAATTTAAATAAACTCAAACGTGGAATATTTTCTGGAGCTCGGTCCCGGACGAGCTGGGGCTAAAACTAAGCCCTGCGAGCACCCGCACCGAGCGGGAGGATTCCACGCTCAAGAGCAACTAGGAGGAGGGGGGGGGGGAGTTGGTGGGGGGAGGGGGGAGACGGTGGGGAGGGGAGACCATGTGAAAGGACATTCCTTTTTGTTTTGCTCGTTCTGCGAGCGGGGCGAGCGAGGCTGGGAGGAAACGTGCAGAGCGGCCGCTGTCAGCCGTTGTGTTTGACCGACCCGGCCAATTCCGTTTCGACTCGCCATCGCGGGGCGGTTTGATGAACAACGATCGCAACGGAATGAAAAACCTGTCAGCGGCGAACGGAGCGATCTGAGAATAAAGAGGCGGCTGACAATACGCGCGGGGCGCGTTTACAGAACGGTTCTTTAAAAACCAGGGGGGGGCTCTGAAATCCCCTCCCCGCACTCTCCTCGCAAAACGCGAGCACGCGCGCGTACGCACGCGTCGCTCTTTAATTACGCGTGGTGCATGGTGTGCCGTTGTGTGCGATGGGTGCAGCAGAGTGTAAGGTGTGCTGTGTGTGTAGCATGTGTCGCATGGTGTGGCAGTGTACGGAGTTCGTGGAGTATAGTGCAGTGTACGTATGGTGTGTGTGGTTCATGGTGTGTGTCGCATGCTGTGTAGGTGTGTAGTGTGTATGTGTGGTGTATAAAGGATGTGGTGTATAGAGGGTGTGATTTTCTAGTGTATGTATGTATGGTGTGTGTGTGTGGTTCATAGTGTGTGGTGTTAGTGTGTATCACATGCTGTGTGGTGTATGGAGCGTGTGGTGCATGGAGCATGTGTGCCGCGTGTGCCGCGTGTGCCTTGTGTGTCGCGAATAACGCGTTTGCCGCGTGAGCCGTACCCATTGCTTGGCAGGGGATGTCCACGATGCTCTCCACCTCTCCCACCATGTGCCTCTCGGGCTCCAGCACCAAGTACGGTGGCTCTGAGGAAGGTGGAGGGAGACAGGGGGCTCTGGTATCTACACGGCACCTTCACCAAGCAACTTGATCAATTCACCCGCGCCGTGCATAGAAGGCTTCCCAATGTAGCCTTAACAGACTCGCGGGGCAAGTGCTGTTAGCGGGCAGCTCCTATGAAGGCCGGTCTGGCACAGCAAACGAGCGGGTGGTGTGGCTAGCACCACGCCAGGCCGCCTTTGTCACTCCAATGGCGATGTTTATACACCGCACCAGGTACATATTTAAGGCTAAATTGTCTAAGGGGAAGGCCGAGGGCCGATGTAGATATTCGTCGCCGATATTGGCCGCGAGCGGGAATTGGACTCAGGTCGCCGGGTTCGTAGCGCAGTACGCGATTCACGCTCACGGCCAACACCAGTGACGATTGTCTGAACCAGTCCTGGGCCTCCCCAAGGTCAACTCGGCCTCAAGCGAGTACTCGGTTGCGGTGTGTAAACATCGCCAGTGTCCGGGCGTGGTTCCGGCCACCGATCCACCCCCTCGCGTGCGGATGTCGGCCTTCACAGGCGCCGCTCGCTAACAGCAGCCCTGAGCCCCAACAACGTTCTGTTAAAGGCTATAATGGGGGACGTTCGTCTTTTCGTAATGATCGGTCACACACCGATGATGGAGAGGTGTGCACGTGCGGAGGCTGGCGCCACACTGCTGCCCTTGAGGACGGCCTCGCACTCGTAGACGCCGGCCGCCCCGAGGCCCGGGTTCTGGACGGTGAGACGCCGGCCCCAGTCGCTGATGCCGCTGTGCAGCGTCACTCCGTCCTTCCTCCACACCAGGGAGAGCCGTGCCACCGGCCTGGGAAGGCACGGCCGTCGTTTACACGCGCACGCTAATCGTCATCGTCCCTCGTCAACGGCACCAGCAGCAACATCATCTTCATCTTCGCCAACAGTATCATCGTCATCATTACTGTCAAGACCGTTGTCATCATTATCATCATCCCCTGGATTTGATCTTCCACGAAGCTCATGGACCACCCTAAACCACACCCGCTGCACAAACCATTGCAGATGTGGATACCTGATGCACAAATGAAAAATGTAAAAGTTTCCAACATGCGACTGTGGTCATCCAGAGCAGACCGTACAATATATTACAATGCAATGTCGATCCACAAATACGAAACGATACACTCCGCTACTCCTGATGAGGGTTGTTTGGCTTGACCACCTGAACGTCAAATTGTAGTTGTTGCTTGCATCTATATCAGCCGTACGGAAGAAGAAGATCATCATCAGCATCATCCTTATCTTCATCATCATCAACAGCAGCATCTTCACCCTCTTCTCTCGTCATCATCACGCAGGATGGTTTAACATGGGACCAAAATAGGCACAGATCTATCAACACAACCACAACAGCCACCAACTAATTACGGTGCAAATTATCAGCCAATTAAATACAATGCCACGAAACAAAGATCATTCCCCTTTTGTTTACGAATAAAATCCATGAGTCCTTGTTCACGGGAAAACAAAATGCGCATGAGTCACCGTTCTCCTCCGATAATTACCGATAAATGCGTTTAAGCGGTGGGTGGGCAGAGCGGTGGCGCAGTGATTAGCGCACCCTGCTATGAACCTGGCGACCTCGAGTTTGATTTTCCAGCCACAGCTGAATTCAGTGCCGAGCGACGTCGGAAATGGTCCCGGTGTAACAGGCCGTAGTATACCCCCAGGCCGTAGTATACCCGGGGTTAAAACGGCCTAGGTTAGATTATACCCAGGTATATTATGGCCTAGGCCAAATTATACTCTGGGGTATATTATAGCCTAGGCCAAATTATACCCCTCTAGGCCAAATCATGCCCCCATGATAGTAATAGTGTTGAGCGATATACACATGAATTACTAAATTTTTCCAACATTTTATTTAAAACTGTAAACACATAGACTTTGATTGCTTCAACCAGAAAAACCTTAATAATAATCCTAATCCTATCCCTAACCCTATCCCTAACCCTAACCTTAACCCTATCCCTATCCATAACCCTATCCCTAACCCTATCCCTAACCCTAAAAATGTTTCAATTGATCAAATTGAGATTCTTACTTCCATTTATACGCTTTTTAGATATCGATTGAAGTTCGTTTGAACTTTCACATGGGGCATCTTCTGGCCTGGAGGGAGGGTATGGTCTGGCCCAGTCTAGTTTAAACCCCCGGGGGGTATAGTTTAGCCTAGGACACTTCATCCCCCCGGGTATACTCTGGCCTGGACCAAACTATACCTGGGTTTAATCGGGGCAGGGGTTATTTTAGCCTGTTACACCGGGCCACCCACCGTCCCCTTTCCACCAACCGGCCGGGTTGACCAGCGTGGTGGGGGGGAGCGGGGTCAGGGGTTTGGCTAGTTTCCCAGCCAAGAACACGAACTCGAAATTATTTTGCTGCCGTTTCAAGAAAGATGTATGCAATGCCAACTAGAAATTGATTTTTCAAATATTAATAATCACTTGAAAACACACGCAATGTAACAAACGCACATTAGCAATTTACCAATTACAGCCGCAAATGTTGAATAATAGATGGGTTCACACACTAATTTTAAACACATGGCAATTACATCATTAATTGCTCGTGGTAACCTTGTCAGCAGAATCACACAAAAACAAAAGATCCCCGATATAGCCACACGGGCTGATGGGGCAAGAGCTGTGAGTCGAGCACCTATCGAGGCCGGCACAACGCACGAGCGGGTGGTGTGGCCAGCACCACGCGCAGTCAAATTTGTGTCCAGTGCCGATCTCTGCACACCACAAATGGGTACGGCTGATGTCAACTTCGGGAAGGTCCAGAATCGGTTCAGATATTTGCCAATGATGTTGGCCTGAGCGGAAATAGAACCCAGGCCGCGGGGTTTGTAGTGCAGTCCACTAACCACAACACTTCCGCTAACCACACGCGTGCACGCACGCACACACAGGTGTGCACAGGCACACTATGGAATCTATTTAGCGTGTCGCTGTGAGAATTCTCAGTTTGTAGCAGCAAGCAATAGCAGCGTGGCAGTTAACACGGCGAGCATCAATCCCACGAAACTGTGCTAAATTTTCAGACTCGCGCTCACACATCAACGGCAAGGGCCGGTGCAGGGAAGAGCCGAAACGGAGGGAGCCGAGACCTGATGGCAGAGGAGACAAAACCACAGCCAAGTCCATTCACCGTGGCACGGGAGGCACGGGGGACGGCCTCTTGGTGGGGAGGTGGCAATAGGGTTGCCACCTGTCCTGGTTTTCCCAGGGTCATCTTCTCTTTTCCTGGGAAAGCTGGGAAGGGGCCATTTGTAAGAGGGTCAATTTGCCTCAGGTGTCACACCAAGGAGGGCCCCACAATGGGCCTGTGGATGGTGGAATGAGGGAGCTTTCGGCACGAGGGAGTTCTCCCCCTCTTCTGCTATTGTGAGATATTGAATTCATAAGCCCTGCTTTGTGTAAACAACGGAGGCCAGGAGCAACCGGCGGTAACACCATCCCACGTGGTCCAGGGAGTACACCGCACTGGCCAGGAGGTGACCGCACCGTGCCAGCCACAACGGGACACACGCCCGGCGCTCCGATGGCTTCACCCACGACGCATCACAGCCTCTCCACGCTAGTCGCCGATGAATCCGACTTTTGTTATTTCTGTCTTTTTTGTTTGCTTTTCGCACGCACGCACGCACGCACGCACACAATCGGCAGGCTAACCCCGCGTGACAAATTCGCACGTCGAACATAAGTCGCCTTTCCGGTGCATCAATCCGGCGTGGCAGGGCCAAGCTCTCCGCAGGGCTATTCCGGCGTTGTCGGGCATTCATCACGAGTCGGCGGTCGTGAACAAAGAGGCGGCGATGGGGGCGGCCGCCCCCGTTTTTGCGCGGGGCGCTTTCGCGGCACAGCACGTTCCGAGCGCCGCCTCCACGGGCGCCGGCGTAATGTGACGGGAGGGCTCCGGCTAATTAACGCACATCACAGCCGCGGGATTTTACTTATTTAATTTAGATTCGTTTTTTTTTTCTTGTCACCGTGAAAAAACCCCTGTCTGCGCCGGCGCGCGCGCGCGCCCTCCCGCCAGCGCCTCCACCGCAGCCGGCGCGGTGGCGACGCTCTCCACCGCAAGCGGCCTGGCGAGCCCGCGGCGCGGAGCGCGATAAATTATTAAACTCATTACGGAGACCGGCCTGAAGTGCACGGAGGAGTCAAGAGAATCAGTCACGCGGACGGGCGGGTGGTGGCGGCGCGACGATGGGAGGGAGGGAGGGCGGGCAAGGGGGTCCCACAACCGCGAGATTCCACAAAGCTGCGTCGCTGGCAACAACGCCGGTTCATTAATCTGCATCACCTCGCACTAATTTGGGAACGATTGTTTATTTATTTGTAAATCAATCGCACTTAAGAGCACGATTTGGAGTCGCCCTGCCACCACCCCTCCGGCCCCCTCACCACAACCCCGTGCCACCCCCCGCCGACCCTCCCCCCCCCCGGCCCCTCCCTGCCACCCCCCTTTTCAACGAAGGGTCGACTTTAAAAACGTCCACGTGCTGGGACCGCTCGCCCTGCCTCTCCCGCTAAGGTTCCACACTGCGCACAGCGCTGAGGCGATGAGAGAGTGAGCGAAGCCGCTATGGAGACAAACGTCCGCTCGGTGCTTACGGGCGACGCTCGGCGCTCCGCTTTGTCCTCTGTGCCAGAGGCAACGCACACAGTGAGCGCGGTCAGGGTCGTTTGGCTCTACTCTGCACCAGCGCAACGCTCAAAGACAGCTCACTGTGAACATCATCATGTTTACAGTGAGTATAATTCATTGGTTGCGTGTGCGTAGCTGGCAGCACGTGGGTCGTAGCTTTGTGGCCGTTAAAAGACTCGTGGCTGGCTTATGTTGAGGAGTTAACTGCGGTGGGAGAATGTTTACATTTTCTTATTCACATCGGAGGACGTACAGCAAAGCACAAAAACATTACAATGCGACACACAATTACAACGTTTTGGCAAACCGACATCGCGATAATCACAATATCGTGACAATTAATATATGGCACCATGAATGACAAAATCGCAGCGAGCCTTGGGGTCAGGGTCAAGAATCCCAGTGGTGACATCGGCCAGCGGCGGACACTTGCAGGCCAGCAGTAAGTCACCACGTGCCTGTCGCACAGGGACAGCTGCCACCGGGGGTGCCCTTCAAAAGTTTGAAAAGATGTGATGCTATGGAAGGGCACTTTGAGTTGCCGAGGCTTTTAAGCAACACCGTACGAATGCAACGACAACAATGATCACGATAACTATCTGTGACCTCGCGGCGCGCGGTGAGCCCTCACCTGGCGTTGGCGACGCACTGCAGGGTGACCTCGGATGTGCCCACGGTGACGCTCGTGTTCCGCGGCGCCACCACAATCTCCGGGGCGATGGGGTCGGCCGGACCCTCCCCATCTGCGCGGGATCAGCGACACAGACGACAAAGTTTAAACAGCAGAATTACATTTTGTTTGTTTGTTAGATATGTATATCCCAATCGCGCCGGAAAAGAACATGCAAAAACGTGTGCTCTCACGCAGAGCAGGAAGGCACGACTCCCATCATGCCTTGCATGCATATCATGTGACCACCGCATTGCATGTGCAAAGATCTCAGCCTTGTCCAGACCACCATCTCGAGTCATGGCCGACTGCGCAACCCACGTTGCGTCGTCGCGAGACGAAGAATCCGCTGTGACCCTTCGAGGATGACCCTTGGAAGAAGATATCACAAAGCTACCTCTAAAAACCCTTTGAAGTGACCTCTGGTCCACACAGTAGAGGGGCAGCATCTACCCACCTGCTCTGCATAATGTTTGTAACACTATAGTGAAACCGATTATTTAATTCTCAGAGCTGGAGTTTTGCGAAAATAAATGCACAGCCAAAATGAATGCACAGCAATGGATTCTGGAATCTTTCCGTGTGGATCTTTGAGTGGCGAGATGTTAACTCCCTCGCCTTGTATACAGGTGGTTGTGGGTTCAATCCCAAAACATGTCGCCTGTATATATTGGAGTTTGCATGTTCTCCCCGTGGTCGCGTGGATTTTTCTCCGGGTCCTCCGGTTTAGAGCATTTGGCTGCCACTGTAAGTTTACACACGATTGATAAGCCACTTCGTTGAGCTATCATTTGTGATCGCTTCTGAAAAAGAGCAACACATTCTGAAGTAATGTAAAGGCATCGCATACTGGTGAAAAGTGATTAACCCATCTGTTCCAGATGAACATAATCCACTGTTTAGTAATAGGTTTTTACCCTTTCAACTGGTACAAAAACTGACACCTTTATACAAGGCATCATGTTTGCAATAACCACAACACAAGCAGTCAAAATGCAAACAAAAAGAAACAACTCTGATGATGATAATGATATGCGCTGTCCTTGAAGTTGATTGGTCCACACCCGAGACAGCTTTTCTTAGAGCCTAGTCTCCATTGGTGTTGGACCAGATGACGCCAAAAGGCGTACAACTCAAAAACATCTTCTTGGTTCTTTCGGTAAAGTCACGTAGAAGGGAAATAATAAAATAATAAAAATAAAACATAATAAAATAATTCTCACAACGTTTCGGCCGCAACACAAACAGCCGTCCTCAGGTGAAGAAACTTTCTTCACCTGAGGACGGCTGCTTTATTACGTTTTATTTTTATTATTTTATTATTTCCCTTCTACGTGACTTTACCGAAAGAACCAAGAAGATGAATCCCTGCAGTCACGAAAGCTTTAAATCGAAACTCAAAAACAGCGCACTATCAGAGTATTGGCGTCAGTTTTTGTACCAGTTGAAAGGGTAAAAACCTATTAGATATTTTGCCACTGGTAAAGGAGGTCTCATAGTATAATCCACTGTTATATAATTACAATAAACTCCCCTTCTGCTTTCTGAACCTGATTGGCTGACAGTTATGACGTCATCTTGCTCTGTTCAAGACCGAAAGCGGGTAGCTCGCTTCACAAATCTAGCAAAATCGCTCGATGATGCTGGACGTAATTACCGTGACGCGGAAACATCACTGTACTCCAATGGTAAACGTTGTGGACTTACTCTCCAACACACCGGTGGGCCGAAGTAGTACCCAACGTTTTGTTACGTGACAAACCTTACTAATTGGCCGTGCCGGGTGGTGTCGGGTTAACGACACATTTATATTCTTGGTTTTTTCGGTAAAGTCACGTAGAAGGGAAGTAATAAAATAATAAAAATAAAACATAATAAAATAATTCTCACGATGTTTCGGCTACAACGCAAGCAGCCGTCTTCACCTGAAGACCTGAAGACGGCTGCTTGCGTTGTAGCCGAAACGTCGTGAGAATTATTTTATTATGTTTTATTTTTATTATTTTATTACTTCCCTTCTACATGACTTTACCGAAAAAACCAAGAAGATGAATCCCTGCAGTCACGAAAGCTTTAAATCGAAATTTGACACATTTATACTTAAGCGATCTAACCCAAGAAAAACAAACCTCTGTTATGAATATTGGTCGCGAAAGCCTACGTCCCAATGTGGGGCCTGACCTGGTAAAATACGAAAAAATGTGTTTAGTTGTGTAAGTTTAGAGCCTCATCCACTTGTACGCAGCAGTTTTCTCGGGATACCCTGGTAACTGCCAATGGCTTTTGTTGTTGTTGTGCAGTCACTGGTGTCAGGTCATCGACTCGCGATACTTTGAGAACCGCCACGCTTTTCAGTGCAGGTGCCATCGAACCCAGCATCTCCGGGGGGCGTTGATTTTATTCGATCGCTCTCCGCTCAGAGCGGAGATGCCAGCGGTGGCACTGTAATTGAACCGCCAAATCCCAGGAGATGAATACGGTGTTTTAATATCGCGGGGGGGGGGGGGGGGTGGCAAGAAAAATACACGAATGTAATAAAAATTAAGAAATTGAAACGGTTCTGAACACTGCCTAGAACATGAAACCCTGCTTACATTAAAGGGGAAAACAGCCGAGATCTCAAATATTTCAGACACGTTGTGTAGGCACCCTGTCCTGCGCTGTTTGACGAGTTTAAAGATTCATAACGAGAAAATATAATGAACAATTACGGTGATGTGCGCTCAAGGGATTTCACCGGGTTTCTATGCAAGTCCATGGGTCTATGTGTGAGTGTATGGGTCTCTGTGCAAGTCTGTGGGTCTCACTGTGAGTCTATGAATCTCTGTGTCTTTGGGTTTCTGTGCGAGTTTGTGGGTTTCTATGCGTGTCTACGCGTCCGCGCGTGTGTGTCTATGGGTCTCTGTGCGAGTCTACGACAACAACATTTACTTTTACACCACAATTTTCCACGATGGCGTACAATTCGTTCGGAGCTGCAGGATAAGAGCTCATCGTATTTTTGGGGGGTTGCGTTTTCCCATTGAAGAAATTGCCCGTCAAGCGAAACTCCATGCCGGCTGACAGATAAATCCATCGTGTATTTTATTTTTTGTGGACTTCCAAATCCAGTGGGGGGCAGGGAGTGGGTGGTGGGGGGGGGCATTGTGGGGGGCAGGGGGGATGGTGCGATGATTGATTGAGATGGTTTCTGCACAACTCCCACGTGACATCGACGGGACAGGAAATCGGGAACGGGCTTATAAAGGTAGAGTTTAATTAATCCCTCCAGGCCCAAATGGGGCGCTTGTAGCTTTATTATTTGTCAGCAGGGCCGGTGACAAACAGCGTCGGATGAGAATAAAGCGGAGTGGAGCTCCGACGGCTCCGGGGTGAACGCCACGCGAAGTTATTCCCTGCGTCACCGCGGGAACAGCGAACGTCGGACGCCATGAAGCGAGCGCCGTGCGACGGAATCTTTATTTTTCTGCGCGCTAAACGTTCCGGATCTATACATCTTTTTTTTTAAAGACGTCTAAGTTGCTCCTATTAATTAGTCGTCGGGTGTATAATTTTACGCTCAGCGTTGAACAAATTGACGCGCTGGTGCCGCTTATCGGGGGAAGTGACTGCGAAATTCTCTCTCTCGCTCGCTCGCTCCCCACGGGGAAGTCTCACTCCGGCTCCTTACTCTTTCTGACAGAGGAGGGGTTTGGGACGAGCGTAGGGAAGGAACGGCAACGCACCATTCACACACAGAGCACTGACACGCGTACGCCACACAATAACAAAGCTCCCTCGTATAGCCTTTAACACTCTTGAGGAAAGGGCAGTTAGCGAGTGCCAGCCATGAAGGCCGGCGACACGCATGAGAGAGTGGGTGGTCAACACTAAGTCCGACCGCCTTTGTCCACATGGCACCAGGTACTCGTTTTAAAGGCTGAGTCGATCTATGGAAGCCCCAGGAACCGTTTCAAGACTGGTACAGATATTTGTCACTGTTATTGGCCATGAGCGAAAATAGAACTCGGGTGCCCTGGCTCGTAGCGCAGGGCTCTAACAACAGCACAACCGCTCCACACGACACGCAAACTCCACACGGCACGAAAACTCGAGACGGCACAAAAATTCCACACGGCACGAAAACTCCACACGACGCGCAGACTTCACTTCCTCCGCTCTGCTCTGAGCCCGAATCTTTAGAATCTCAGAATCTTTTTATTTTACCCCCTGAGAAATCCGCTGAGCTAAAAAGCTCTTTTATTTACAGGTGTCCACCGCTGAGCACGGCAACGAGAGACAATCCGAGGCTCGGCAAGGAGCGGGGCCAAATCTCCCGACCGCCTTCATGACGAGGCCCATTGTCGTCTGGGGCTGTGTCCGGCACCGTGGTCTGACGGCGCCACCAGATAAACACCGCTCATCCCGCGTGCACGCCTCTCCCCCTTGTCTGAACCTCTTCTTCTCTTTCCCCGTTTGCTGCACGCGATCCAATCGGCGTAAATGTAAATAAAAACAAACAAACAAAATGCTTGGCGAATCGGCTCCGTATGAACACAGTGTGAAGAATTGGCAAGGTGTCTTATTAATAAACCGTAAAAAAAGAAACCTATCTGCAGCCTCGCGCCGATGAATAAGCGTTTTGGCGCGATCAGGAGGAGTTCTGGCGGGACCGGAGCTCGGGGGGCTTGCTTATCACTTTGCTTCTCACCAAGCGCTCTCCATCTCCCTTTAAACCCGTGCCATTAAGTCCTCAACACCTTAAACACAGGCCCACATTTCACGCCGCAAGACAAGCAATTTGCCCCGAGATGCCAAAGTGGAGAAATTGTAACCACAGTGCAGGAGAGGGTGCAGCCGGGCGGAAAAAAAAAAACATACATTTCAGCCGCGATGGAAAAAGAAAATGCGCCATTCCTCACCAGGAGGGAACGCACTTCGTCTTAATTTTGCACGCGCGCGTGTGTATGTGCATGCATATGCGCGTGGGTACGTGCGTGTGTACATGCGTGCCGCGTGCCGGTTACCACGGGCATGAGTGCACGTTCATGCGCGTGTATATTTGCTGCCGTGCGCGGGTGTGTGGGGAGTGGT